GGTCGAGTCGTTGCGGCTGCACGTAGCAACACACGCCACTGTATTATACAGTATGCGTCGTCGATATGCTCGGATATATCCGTGCCTTACGAAATGCTGAGATGCTCAGCAATCTTAAAACACATGTTTGGTTTTAACGTAATAACTTTTAAATGAAAAAATCCAATTAAAAAAAAGGAAAATAATAAAATGTAAAATGGCTTAAATTTCACACAAAAAACTAACGAACTGAATGAAAAAAGTGAATCAATTTGGTTCAACGAAAGTAACAAAAGATAAACAAACGAAAATATAAAAAAATACCTCAAATTGACATTAAAATCAGACCTGAACGTCGGATGTGCCATTCCGATGGAAGATGTTTGCTGCAATCGATTCGGTGTGCCACCAATTTCTACTGGTTTATTCAGCCTCATTCCGACTGGCGGCGGAGGCGGTGCCAAGAATCCAGATGCGGCTGTTGGTGGCAACGAGGTTACCGTTGCTTCTGGTAGAACAATAGAAATTTATTATTTTTGTGTCGCGTTCGAATGAAATTGAAGAAGAAATCAAAACAAATGACCATAATTCATCCAAATCGTCTAGAGACGAAAAGATGTTAAAGGAAGAAATCACACAGATTTCTTTGAAAATTGCAACTTGAGCCTACCATGATGAGCTGAAAGTGCTGGACGAGCAAATGTTGCTGATGGCGTTGTGTGAGTATTGACGATGTTGCCACTATTCGATGTGCCTGTGTTGCCGGTACCCTTGTTTGATCGATAATATGTCGACTGGAAGCGACTGAAATTAGTGAAAATTGTATATTACAAAATCGTTATTAAGAATGCCAAACTGAATAGTAACAAATAGTATAGGAAAACACGAAAGAACAAAAATGATTTCCCATAACAAATTAACCAAATCTTTTCAACACTTACTCAGCTGATATGACAGAACCTTCCTCCTCGTGAAGTTCGGGCAATGGATTCAATCCCAAATACTCGCGACGCATGTGATCGATTTCGTTCTTCAGCGGTAAATACTCTTCGTGAACACGATTTGCAATGTTTACCGATCGGTTTCGATTCTCTTCAGCCTGTTTGATCACTGTTTCCATCTGTTTTTGTGCATAAGCACACAAAAAAGATATGGATTTAATGGTTAGAAAATTAAGAACTCTTTCTCAAAAATTTGGTCTATTTGATTAATGTTTTTAATTCATTTCAAACAAAAAATTATTCGGTTTTAGATTTGGAAGAAATGAAGATACGGTTTTTTAATGAAGATTGATTTCAACTTCATGTTTCTATTTATCCAAAACTTCATGTTTATGTCGGAATCGAATTTAGTCCTCATTGTGAACCATTTCCAAATATTCGAATAATCCCGTAATTATGCATGAATCAAGTCCAATAACCACTCGTTCAATAAATACATATGTACGTACCGCATTGATATCAGCGTGAATTTGGCGCAATTCTTCGACATGGCTCATCTTCTCTTGCAACAGCAATTCCATTTCGCGTCTGTACTCTGATAAGCACTTCTCTTCTGAGTCACCGTTTTCCACCTCACGAATGAGTCGCATCTTCAGCTTCTCCAACTGGATTGTTTTGCCACTGTTTGTCAAGAGCAAAATATAATGAAAATACACAAACGGTTATACATTAAGTTCATTCTTGCGATTCAAAAATGCCATTGAATCGGGTTTGATGTTTGCAGAGATTTATCTGTAGATTCATTAAATGGTTATCCCTTTGAGCTTACCGGATATCTTTCATTGCCTCCAGCTTGGCGTAAATGGTTCGTTCGTCCACGGCCGTCATTTTTCACGTCGTTTTCACACTTTCAATCAATATTTCTCAACGAAATCTCACAACAAACAATCCGTTCTCACGTACACTAGTTAGAGAGAAAATCAATTTGATTTATTTTACACTTGAACAATATTTAGATGATTCAGTGAGTGAACATTAAATTTAATGTTCGCATTTAATTTATTCCGATGATTTTCACGTTTACAAATTCGATTGTGATTTCTTTTGTGTCTGTGCAAGCAGTTTGGGATTTATAGTGACTGCGTTCGACAACAAAATTCATTCGTATCAAACGGTGTGCGTTTGAGTGAGACGGAGAGTGAATGAGCGAGCGTGTGTGTATGTGTCAATTGTTGCCCATTGATTTTGTGCAATCACAGTGGTATGTGTGCGACTCAGAATCCATGTCTAATTCGAAGATGTGTGTTGTGATTGTGTGCGTACCGAGATTCATTTAAAACATACACACAGGGTGACATAGTGCTGTTTCATCTCCCGTTTATATTTTTCTATTGATTAAATGTAAGATGAAAAATTTTCTAAATGAATCAATTTTCGGTTTATGGAAGAAAAAAAACACGTCGCTCATTCGTTGGGCCGACGTCAAAACGAATGTCACTTCTATTTACCCATGAATTTATTTACAGCCTGATAAAGAAGAGACACATTTATTTAGCCATTGTTTGTCTTGTTTATTGAATGCCATCAGGCTGGCTCTCTGTGTGTATCTGTCTCTGTCCCTGTCTCTGCGTCTATGTGTATATGATGCGCGTGTTTACATACACTATCCGCCATATTTATAAATTCGGTTATCATATTCTATATAGTAATGTGGTGAAAAAGAACAGTATTGTGGCTTACAATTTTATACACACTTCTAAAACACCGACAAATGGCATCATCCATGGGAACCAGCCATCATCTCCAAATCTTTTTGAATTTGATGCTATTTTCGATGAATATGCTCGAAATCCCCTAAAATCGCTTAACAAGTAATATTATGATTATCGAATCATTTCAAAAATCACTTTGAATAACGATCAACATTGCGAACATACTGCACGAAATGTTCAGTTCAACTGTGAACCGACCCCAATGCTATACAATGAAAGTCACATGAGCAGTAATGAACAGCAAGAGACGGAGCAAAAGAAGAAGAAAAAAAAACGAAAACATCACTACACGGACAGTTGAGTGATACGTCATGCTTTGAACAATATTGACAATAAACAAAGCAGCCAGAACACGGACACACACCGTAATCGTTAATACGACGAAAGACGTTTTAGCATTTTTGCAGCAGCAACAAAGCAGCAGTAGTAGTAGTAGTAGCAGTAGCAGCCAGTTCGTGTATAGAGAAAAGTTTACGTAGAAACACAGTTGAATATACAGACAGTGCGTGTACGAATAGCGAAGCAGAACGAACAGAACAGGGAATAGATATAGTATATATCATACAATCGTCGACAAATTCTAATGGTAATTTCTTTGAATTCAAAGCACAGTTACTTTGCCTTTGATAGCAAGCTTAAAGGAAAAAGAAATATTCCATAAATTGTGTGTGCATGTGATTTTTTCTCGTTTATTCGAAAAAGAAGAAGAAAAAAATTAATCCAATTTCGAATAAAATAAAGAATTTGATTTTGACAAATGAACGATGTAATCAGTACTGAGCTAACGTGCAAAAATATACACATAACACACAACGTTGTTTGGAATAGAGAGACAAACCAATTTTCCTAGTGGCACAACGACACACGGCAGCTATATTTGAAGAAAGCGGCAGTAACCACACAATTAATCGATTTGCGTATTAAAATATTTTTTTTTTCCTGCAGCGCAAAAACAACCAACCAACATTGACGCTCTGAATAAGTGAGAAGAGAATAAGAGAAGAAAAAAAAAACAGTAATCGTAAGAAAAATAAACGAAAGAAAGACGAAATTATGAAGACTCAGCAGATTTTTGTTACCGTTTTGGTATTTTCCATTTGTCAATGGTCAGTGCTTGGTGCTGATTCAGGTGAGTTGATTTTTTTTCTCTCTCTCTCTCTCTCGTTTCATTTGATTTTATGTTCTAAGTAATTTCGTCATGTTGTCATTTTGTTGCTGCAATTGTCACTCGATTGTTCGAATTTGGTTCGTTTTCTTTTAAATGATATCTACCATTTTTTCTTCAGGTTTGATTTGCATGCTAAAACAATTTGGTGATTCATGCGAATTGAATCCATTCGATTTTATGCGTTATGTGTCGGCTCTGTCGTCATCGACACAAACATTCAAAAAGTATGAAAAAAGAAAAGAAAAACAAAACGACGCATTCAATCAATGTAGCCACCGCCGTCGTCACCGTCGTCGCCATCGTCGTCGTAGTTGTCGTCAACTCATGACCTATGTGCATTGTAATTGGCGACGCGATTTCATATTATTCACAACTATTTAGATTAGTTGTAAAATGCCATATTTTCTACACACTCTTTCTCGGCTGCATTTTTTTTTATGCGCCATTTTTTTCCGCTTCCATATGCACATTTCCACGAACATAATCATGGCACTTTTGTACAGATGCACATACATTGCCACAGCATGTATCCCACTCATTTATTCTGGCAACGCAACAAAGAGTCACACAATCGAATTCGAAACACAACATTTTCCATATCTCGGCAAATTTGTTCGTGTGCTTGTGTTGTGTGCATTTGCAAAATGTAATGCAATGGACAATGGTGAAAACGAACAAAAAAAAAAGAAGAAGGATGTAATGCGCTCTTTGTATGAGAATGTCGTGTGTGCACAAGCATTACCGCTAATTAAACATGTATATTTGACACTCATTCGTCACACTTGTGTCCCAACACACAAGGCACAAAAACACAGGCGCAGAGAGAAAGAGACAGCGCACAATCGAACATCGAGAACATTCGAACAATCATGCTGACCGTTTGGCATTTTCATCATTCTTATCGATTCCCAAATATAAACCGAATATTATTACCTTATGACATAGTAGTATAACAAAATCGATATCATTGCTTTTCCAGCCAAAGCCGAACCGCCAGTTTCATCGGTAAGGATATTATTATTATTGATCCATTAAACGTTTTATGGTTTTGTTTCTTTATTGTTGTAAAAGAATTGCACATTGCCGATGGATTAATCAACTGACGATTTTTATCGGGTATATTAAGCATAATTGTTCATTTGTTTTCCATTCATTTTACTCCGTAGACAACACCGGCCACCGCAGATAACACAACCACCTTAGCACCAACGGTAAGAATAATGATGATCGACGTTCGTTATGAGTGAAAGTCACAGTCATTCGTACATTGGTCATCAATTGCGATGCGATTTATGAAAAATCGGCAACCGAATTATGATTTTAATGAACCGCATAGGATATCAATTTGACAATTTGTCAACCAAAGATTCCTGGTTTTCTCACTGCTTTGATTATGGATTACGTCATTGTTTTCAAAGATAACCCTGGTGGAAATTTTTTGGCTGACTAATTTTTTAAGTCGATAATTCTGGGACATTTTCACTGACAAAAAGTCAGATTGTCTCGAACAAAAAAAAAACTGTAGTTAACGAGAGATGAAAAAACACGGAGATGAAATTTCTTCATTCAAAATTTGCAAGTATCATCGATTCTAATTGATTTTTTGTTTCAAATTCACTTTTAAATAGACCCCTACACCTGCCCCTGATAATACAACAACCACTTCAACTACAACCACTACTCCAACTCCAGCTCCGAACACAACAACAACAACAACAAGTACCACCACCTCAACACCAAAGGTAAGCAAACCACCCACGTCACGCCAATTTCGATGCTAATTACTAAATCATTATTGCGTTTCTTGTTTAGCCTGATACAACCACCCCCAACACGAGCACAACCACAACAACAACAGCAAAACCAACACCAACACCAGAGCCTTGCCGACACTTTGATGCACCATCATTCATCGGTGGTATTGTGTTGACCATTGGTTTGATTGCCATCGGTTTTGTAGCCCATAAAGTTTATAAATCGAAATTCGATCGCAACTATCATACGCTGTAAACTGTGTGCATGTGGATGCCTCTGTGTGTATAGAATCTCACCAAAACAAAACAAAAATTACAACAACAGCAACAACAGCAAAAACCACACACTTCTGTGTACATACTTGATTTTCTCGAGTTTAATTCCCCCCGTAATCTCAGATTTTCGTTTCTTCTTTTTTTCTCGTTTCTCTTAAGTAAAAAAAAATAATAATGATTTTGAAGCTTCAAAGATTATGAATAAGACAAAAGTTGTGCAAATACACGAACAATAAAATAATAAAAAAAAGCTGATAAAAAAGTATACATGGTTTTTTTCTTCTTCGAATTTCATCCAGCATATTCAATGAATAATGATTTTTTGTTCTCGGAATCATTAAACAGTTAGATAGAAAATGGAATTGATGAAGTGGGCGTAATTTGATTAAATATTAATGAGCTAAAATTGAATTTGAAAAGGACATGTCACAGAACATCATCATTTGATAAGGAGAAAAAATTAAAATGCCATAGTAACTGCTTGGATAGCAATTCTATTTAAGTATGCATCCAAAACAATTCCAGACACAACATATTTTTTTATTTAGAATTTTTATCAAACTAAACAAACATTGAAATTGAAACAAACAGCAGAACATAGTTTACGCTTGGATTATTGACAATGCATCACGGTGGGTGTGTGTGTGTGTGTAAATATTTTTATTAAGCTATGCTATCAAACCGAAATAATGACACACTGGCACCAAAATTAGCTGTTATCATTGGTCTTCGAGTGGGAATTTCTGATAAATGGTCCGTAATCAGTGCATATTATTCATTTTCATTCCCCCACATATTTCACATATCTCGCATAATTCACGTTTGATTTTGATAAGGTAATAGGTATTTAACATATTTGGCATATTTGAAATGCCTTGAGTACATACACAATACTCAATCATTTCGCCGATTGATATTATTCAAAGTATCCAGAATGGGTAAAGTACGTCATTCATCGTTTTGACATGTATTTTTAGCTACATTTGACGTTTTATTCACATTGTGAGTCTTGCACTTTGTTTATTTCTCGCATTTATAAATGTTTGAGCGGTTGACGTTGTACGAATGTGTGTTTGCGGATTCAGTCTTAAAACAATCAACTTGACGCAATCACAAGGTGAATAGCGTTTCGATACAATTCCGCTAAAATGAATCATCATCATCGCCCTTCAATCAATCGTAAAATATATGATTTTTAAATGGTTTCAATTTTGTTTCTCTTCATTATCGTTTTATCCGATAAATAGTGATCGATAATAGATGTTGGTTGAACGCGTATGCAAAAAATAAATAAGAGTATTTCATTACGGTTCATGAACGCGAACGAAGGGTGTTTTCTGCGTTTGTGTGAAAAACTTTTTGTTTCGTTCTCTTTTGAGTGAAAAATAGAATTAAATCAAAAACTAGTGATTAGATAGACATTGGTATAATATATATAACTAGAAATTAGTGTGAATATAGATACTAAAATGATAAGACCGATGACGCCACCGAATGCGTCTCATTCAAGCCAAACGACTGCATGGGCAAAAGTGCGTTTATTGTTGTGGAAAAATTGGTTATTACAAAAACGACACAAAATCCATACGATTGTTGATATTTTTCTGCCGGTGTGCTTCTTTATATTCTGTGCATGGATGCAAAAATCTGTCGGCATTCAACATGTGGAGAAGGTCATCTATCCAAGTCTGAATGTTAATACACTCGATCCGTTATGGTAAGTGACAAATGACGCATGCTTTTCAATGCAAATTGTAATGAAACACCTGTAGAAAGGCCAATCATTTTCCCAATCACTACCTTGATTCATCGTGTTATATTGAAATCGATTGAGCTAATTCATCATCTGCACATTTTTCTCATAGACTTTAGTGTTTTGTTTTTGTTTTTCATTTTTTTCATATTGGTCCGCATGAGTGTTGACAAAACAATAACAAGTCAACTGTTTTGAAACAGTTATGGAGTTTATTTAAAAAAAAATAAATCAATGAATTTCGATGAAACAAAAGGCGCTAAACTGATGATTCTAATGTTTCAGGAATCCTCCGCAGCTTCTGTACCCTCCAATTAATGAGAGTCGACTGATTTTCGCACCAGACAATGACATCTTCAGGAATATAATGATCAAAGTGTCCGGACGACTAGGTCTTGATAAGCCCGTTGGTCTTAGCAATAGTAGTCAAATGGAAGAAACTTTTGTGAAACGAGGATTAATTGCTGGAGTTGAATTTCATCATTCAAATGTAAGTTTTCATCAGTAAGTTTTGTGCTTCATGGTTTACAAATTGTAAACTATGCAGGTGGATCTGTCGATAATTGCAAACATAATTGATAAGGCAATTTCTGTTGATTTTTTTTTCTTCTTCTCGTGCTAAGGCATTCAAGTAAACACTAGAAAATTGTTCAATTTTTGAGTAAACGGAATTCAAAATTTGATTTTCATGTTGAAAGGATATTTTCTTCAATTAATGAAGCCGAGACTCACACAGTGTGAGTCACACTTTGATATACATAAGTTGTTCATATCCTTTTTCAATACAAACACAATCTATGAATGCTATCAACGTTCATGTATAAAAATCGAGCGCACTGGCCGTGAAATACAAATTATGGTACATTTGTGGATCTAATCAGGCTAATGACGTTAGAAAATTTGTTTATGAGAAAATTACTATTTATTCACACGCGTCAAGCAATTGAATCAAATGTGGTTTTCCAGTGTACTGAGTCACTCACTATATATGAAATATAGTGAAATAATGAATTTCACGCGACATGCTGGTTAACCTAAATGCGAAAAAAATTATTGAACTATAAAGTTTTACGATGAAATACCATGATATTGTTACATTGTTTTCGCTTCATCGTTTTTATTGTATTACATTTTTTTTCCGGAAGAAACAATGTTTCATCTTCAATCTAAAGAAAATGACATTTTCAACATTCATTTTATAGAATACACGTAGTTCCAAGTGTATAGTGAAACAATATGATTTCAAGTCAATACGATAAGAACATTTTTGAACAAAATTGCTGCCTAAATCAAAAAATAAATTGGCCGGCGAGAATATATGTAATTATGAATTGTAATTTTATTGTTCTCTCTTAACTTGATCACTAGAAAGCGACTGAGCTCCCAAAGAGCCTCTCCTATTCACTTCGTTTTCCGGGTGAATTGCGCCGTGGGGACATGCCATCTTACAACAATATAGATTTGCTAAATTGGCAGACCAAACGTGTGTTTCCGATAGATTCATTTTCGCCACGATATGCAGGCGAATATGATGGTGGACCGCCATCCTATTACAAGGAGGGTTTTTTGGCCATTCAAAATGCAATCGCTAAAATATTTGTCGACATGCTACAATCGGATTCGAATAAAATACCAACACCCGACATCCAAGTGAATCGATTCCCGTACCCGGCATACATTTCTAATTTGTTTATATCGCAGTTCAATATAATAATGCCACTGTTTGTCCTGGTGAGTTTGAACTACACATTCATGAATACGGTGCGTTTCATATCGATCGAAAAGGAGAAGCAACTGAAAGAGGCAATGAAAATCATGGGTTTGGCGAGTTGGATGCATTATCTCAGCTGGTTCATTCGAACAATAGTGATGTTGACAATTCCAATGGTGTTGATCACAGTGCTATTGAAGGTAAATAATTATTATTCGACACGTTTTTCACAACTAATTCATGTATTATTTAAAGAGCCTATAGAAGTAGTGCGATAAAAATCAGTTGTTCAAGCAAAAAAAAAAACGTGTGATTCTTTTCCATTTCAGTGGCCATGGTTTGGAGGAGCAATGGCAATTTTTCCACATTCCAACTTTATGTGCTTAATCATCTTTCTACTCGGTTACTGTATATGCTTAATAACAATGGCGTTCGTCATTTGCTCCGTATTCACCATGTCCAAATCGGCAATGACCAGCTCAACGGTCGTATGGTATTTGTCGTGCGCGCCATTCTTTTTATTCAAAGATGACGTAGCCACATGGTTGAAGCTGATATTTTGTATCTTCCCGAATACGGCAATGTCCTATGCATTCGGTATAATTGCACATCTGGAAGATTTGGGCGTGGGTCTGAACTGGACCACAGCATTTCAAACGGTGTCTGTATATGAGGATTTAACGGTGGCTATGCTATTTGGATACCTCATTATGATGGCGATTGTCCTTTTTTTCATTACATTATACGTGGAAAATGTGCTGCCAGGTGGTTATGGTGTTTCTAAACCATGGTATTTCATATGCACTAAAAGTTTCTGGCAAAGCTTCAACAATTATCAGCAATTCAATGATAATCATACCGAAGAAGAATCGTACGAATTTGCCGAAGCAAATACAAATAAGTCGAATTTTGAAAGTGAACCCATAAACAAAACCATTGGCATTGAAATTCGTAATTTGACCAAGAAATTTTCGAACGACAAAGCAGCCGTGTCGAATTTATCGTTGAATATTTACAACAATCAAATCACCTGCTTGCTTGGACAAAACGGAGCGGGTAAAACGACAACCATTTCGATGCTAACGGGAATGATGGAAGCAACAACTGGTACGGCCATTATCAATGGCTGTGACATTCGAACGAACATGGACAAAGCACGCGGTTCAATGGGATTCTGTCCACAGCACAACATTCTGTTCGATGAGCTAACCGTTCGCGAGCACATCATATTCTACTGTACCCTAAAGGGATTGAGCGCCGAAGTGGCCGAACGTGAAGCGAAAAAGTACGGACAAATACTTGAGCTGAGCGACAAAATGGACACATTATCCACGGCGTTGTCGGGCGGAATGAAACGAAAATTATCGGTCGTAATTGCATTGTGCGGCAATTCGAAGATTGTATTCTTGGATGAACCAACGAGTGGCATGGATCCAGGTGCCCGGCGAACACTCTGGGACATTTTGCTAGCGGAAAAGAAAGATCGTGCCATTTTACTGACCACTCACTTCATGGATGAAGCCGATGTGCTCAGTGATCGAATCGCTATTTTGGCTGATGGTGAACTCAAATGTACTGGGTCTACGTTCTTCTTGAAGAAACGCTTTGGCACCGGCTATCATTTGATTTGTGCTAAAGATGAGGACTGCATCTCAAATATAGTTACCGAACTTTTACAAAGACACATCCCAGACATTCGCCTCGAACATGAAAATGATACCGAAATCTCGTACCTTTTACCCGACCACAGAAACGAACAATTCCAAATCATATTCGAAGACTTGGAGAACAACGAAGGTCGTTTGAAGATTAGTAGTTTTGGTATTTCTTTGACCACACTGGAAGAAATTTTCTTGAAAATTGGAAAGTCGGACAGTTTTACGGCGACTTCACCACGTATTGGATCGGATCAGTCGTCAGACATCGACAGTGGCATTAGCGACACTCGCATCACATTGAACGACGATCATCACTTGCTACGCGGTCCAGCTTTGTGGAGAAATCAAACGATTGCCATGTTTAAGAAACGTTACCTTTGCTGGATTCGGGCAATTCTGTCGTTTTTGTACTACAACTTCTTTGTGCTGTTCATGTTGATTTTTGTGATCTTTCCAGTTGGTAATCTTTGGTCTTCTTCAAAAGAATTGCCACCGATGGACATTACACTGAACGCATACAAATCACCGTATGCTATTCTAGCAGAATCAAATTCATCGTAAGTATTGCCAATTAAAGTCCAATTTGATTTATCTTCTTATGATTGACCTACAAATCTTCCCATCTTCTAGAATTGCCATGCAGTACAAGAAAATCATTGATCAAACATCAAGCGCCAAATTGCTAACCGTTGACAGTGGTGACATGGATACTGATCTCTTAGACTTGGCCAAATCACATTTAAAAGAGTTTAAATATCAGTATTTGGTCGCGGTCAGTTTTATGGGAAACGAAACAATCACAGCATGGTTTAACAATCAAGCGTATCATACAGCTGCAGTGGCCCTGAACCTTGTGCATAATGCCATTGTGAAAAGTTTCATTGGCAACGAACACGGTATTAGTGTAACAAATGCACCATTCAAGTTTTTGCCAAAGCACAATGACTCCGATGCGGACGTTTTGAACAATATGGATGCATTTGGTTTTACGTTTAGTATTGTAATTGGACTTGTCATGTCGATCTTATCAGCATCGTATATACAATTTTACATCAAGGTAAGAATTAAATGGACGCAATCTCTTTCTATCTACCTCTCTCTTTCTCTCTCTCTCTCTCTCTCTCTCTCTCTCTCTCAATCGACATAAGAAGGGATTCATTTACACTTTGACAATTGATTTTTGAAAACAGGAGAAGGAAAACAATGCAAAATTCATGCAGTACACCAGCGGTGCATATATGTTCGTTTTCTGGGGTGCATCCATCCTATGGGACTTATTCACGAACTCGATCACCATTGGCTTAATCATTGTGATGCTGGCAATTGGGCAACATGAGCATTGGCGAACGCCCAGCGAATTGGCAATCGTTTTTCTGATTTTATTCGTGTACAATTTCGCGATGAGTCCGGTCATTTGCCTGTTGTCGCTGATCTTTTCAAAACCGACGACCGGAATGAATGTCCTCAGCATTGCAAATACCGTATTGTGTAAGTTCAAGGCGAAACTCCACTCAGTTTGTACAGTTTTGCCCTCTGTTCAATTTTATTTATCTTCGGTTCTTTTTCCCAATTTCAGTGATGGTGTTCGCGATGAATATACCTTTTCGATTTTTAAACAAAGTAGTTTACTATATTTTCTGGTCATTTCCACTTTGTACGATGATTGATGCGATCTTTAAGTTGCCAACATTCCACACAAAAGAACTACAATGCGAAGCAGAGTGCAAGAAGAATTACAATGCCGACAAATGTGATTGGGAAAAGTTTTGTAAATACGATCCGAAATGCTGCTGTAAGTAAAAATGACCAAAGTCTCTTTTATATATTGACTATTAAAACATTCCAGCATTTTTGCATTGATGCCAAACCATAATAAAATGAAATTTTATCGCCCTTTGCTTTAGCTGAAACAATATTTTCATGGAGTAGTGGCATCTCTCAAAACTTGGTTCTGATGACAGCCATTGGCATAGTTGCTTACCTCCTGCTAGTTTTCATTGAAAGCGGAACGTTTAAATTCATTAGAACGTACATATTGGGTGCCATACCTCGCACTTATCCGTATCAAAATCCGGAAAATGTCGATGATGATGTGGCTGCTGAAAAAGAGCGCATCGACTGTATGACCGTACAGGAGCTAAAAACTGAGACGATCGTCATGCAAAATGTTTCGAAATTCTATGGGAAATTTTGTGCTGTTAATCAAATATCGGCATCAGTCAAAAGGTAATTTTTGAGTCAAAAGCTTATTCAAGTGAAGCTTTGATATTCATCCGAAATACGAGAGTTTAGGTCACACTTGAACATTTTCGATGTATATATGCATTTTCCCATTCAATTTCGAATGTCAAACAAAGTTCTAAACATTTCAATCAATTTTCTTTCCTTCCAGAGGTGAATGCTTCGGCTTGCTTGGAAAGAATGGAGCAGGCAAGTCATCCATCTTCAAAATGCTTACCGGCGAAACGATAATCACGAGTGGTGAAATTTTCACCTATGGCTACAATCAAAAATCCCAACTTCCAAACATCTATCAAATGATTGGCTATTGTCCTCAATTTGATGCATTGCTAAATGGTCTCACGTGTCGTGAAACACTAGAAATATTCGCTATGTTGCGTGGCATTCCAGCCCAAGATGTGAAAGGCTACATTGAAAACTGTGCTCGTAGTTTAGACTTCATTCAACACATTGACAAAAAAGTGAAGCAATTGAGGTAAATTTTTGCACGAACCTTTTATTTTCATCGGATTTTTTTTAAAATTTACGCCTTATCTAATCATTCAATTATTGATCAAACCTTAATTAGTGGCGGAAATAAACGAAAGCTAAGCACGAGTCTGGCAATTATCGGGAATTTGAGTGTAATTTTCTTGGATGAACCGACGACTGGTATGGATCCGGCCACGAAACGCAACTTATGGAACGTAGTCATACAATCACGCGAAGCGGGCAAATCAATTGTTCTGACCTCACACAGTATGGAAGAGTGTGAAGCACTTTGCACCCGAATGACGGTGCTCGTCAATGGTTTATGCAAATGTCTTGGCTCTGCCCAACATCTCAAAAATAAATTCACCAAAGGATTCGAACTCAAAATCAAAGTCAAAGATGATGAAATGAGAAAGTACGGATTTTTGTGCCTTTTTTTTCTTTCAATTTTTGTACAATGAAAATGTGCAAATTTCTTGCATCGATTCAACAAAAACGTTAATGTGAATTCATATTCATTCACCGTAATCGAATTACGTTGATTTACGAGTTTCATGTCAAAATTAATTATTTTCTTAATTTCATTTCAGCATGAGCATCATTGATGTGAAAAACTTTGTTCTACAAACATTCGTTGGAGCAATATTTAGGTGAGCATTGGATTTGCATGTTTTGTGTAGGAGAAGAAAATTGTGTTTTGAATAAAATCATTAATTCTGTTGTTTGTTTCACATATTTTCCAGAGAGGAGTACCAAGGCATCCTAACATATTCCATTCCGGCTGAAAACATCCGATGGTCATCCGTATTTGGTATCATGGAAAATGCAAAGAAAATACTGAAAATCGATGATTATTCAGTCAGTCAAAATTCGCTGGAGCAAGTGGTTTTGGCGCTGGTTAAAGACCAAGAAGGACCAAGAAATCAGAAATAATTTCAATTACCATCGAGTACACTGAGTAATACAGTTTCTTTTCGTAAATTACACGAATGTTTCTCAAAAATTTCGTATATACAATGAAAATTTCGAGGCTCAAAACCGAGAATGCCTTCGTACTACGATAATAATTTCACGGTGTACAGCACAGTATTTTCTTGAAAATTTATTTAAAAGAAGAGAAGAAAGTTTCAAACGCGCACCAAAAAAAAGAAAGAAAATCCTCTAAAACTCTGGAGGATATAGTATTGTTGACAACAATAGTAACTTCAATTTATTACCTTTTTTACTTTCGGTAATTCGTTATAAAGTATTTTTGTTAACTTGATTAGAATTAGGTAATTTTCTAACTAATCTATTCTTATGAGTCATCTTTTGTAAGTCAAGCTTACAAACTTCGTTGAAATGATGATTGATTATTTTCCAAAATAAAAACGAACAATTCCATTTGAATTTAGCAAAATGAAGGAAAGTAAACTGATATACAAAATTAGATACCTTGAATGATCCACAGATAAAATTGGAAGATATATCTTCCAAATTTAGGTGAAACAAATGGCAATAATTCCAACGTAAACAAAAAGACCAGCGAAAACCAATCAATTTTCAGCGTAAACTTTACAAGAGCAAGCAATCATTAGGATTGTTCCAAAAAATGAATGGTTTCATAACCAAAAAAGAAAATGTTCAATCAGTTCTACTTAAATTGAATCAAAGTTTAAACTTTTTTTTCTGCCAGATAAGTTAAGAGAATCTCTGTGAATACTTAAAGATCCTATTTCAATATACTACAATAAAAAAAAAAATAATAATAATAAAGATGTGATTCACTCCAATATGTAAATGTCAATTCAAAATGCAGACTAGTCCTGGTATTACTTAAAATTGATATTATATATTTATATCTAAACACTATACCAAAACAAAGCTAACGACCACGAATTAAACAATATATTTGTTGCACACATAAATGTTCATACAGCGAGTGTATTTTTGCTGGTGAGCAGAGCTGAATTCGCTGACTCAGGTGTCTGAAGCGTTATTCTAACGCATTCACAGTGCAGAATCATAAATGTTAACAGAAATCTACCTTATTATAATTGAGGAAACACGTGGATCTTGGCTAGGATAGAAAATTTTGCAGCAAGAATAGGTCAAAATAACTCTTCAATGTGAATGGATCAGCAAATTCAGCTCAGCTCAGGTCTGCTCAGCATCAAAATTTCACTTTCTGCCTATATAGATTCTTGTACGAAGAGGTTACCCTTTGTTCTGTGATCACGAACGCATAAATTGAAATCGTAAATGATATTAATGTGCCTGCTGTTATGTGAAGAAATAAAAATGTCTGTGTTTCATCCCTCACCAAAGGAAAACAATTGAATTTAACCCATTTTCCACTGATGACAAAAGCGAGGGCAAAATTCTCAAAAAGATCTTTCGAACACTCGATAGAAAAGTGGGTTAGATTCATTCGATGATGCTTGATACACAGTCAAAGCCACTCTGTGTTTATTTGGAAGTAGAAATCAAATTAAATATATCTATCTTTATGTACCATTGAATAATAAAAATATATGTTTCAAATGAAAATGATGTGTTTTTGAGACTTTTAATCAATGGTAAAAATCGAAAGTATCGGAACTTTGTATTTAAACCTGAAAATTGTTTGTAACCGCGATAATTTTTGTTGGAGAAGAATAATGGTCAAAAATTGAAAAATGTCAGATTTACCGCTATATCTTTGTTCATTTTAATTGTAAGTTCATCTTTAACTATTTCAAAATGTTAAGCTCGGTTGAGCGGTTCAAGCAATTGAACTTTTCAATTTGATGTATTTCAATATTGAATATTTTTCTCTGGCGGAAATACGTGAAATAATGACGAACTAACAATTAATCGAATGTATGAACACCATTTGTTCGAAACAAAAGCTCTTACCTGCAATCAAAACAACAACAACAATAAAAAAAACGAAACAAAGTATCGTTAAAGGGATGTAATAAATTTTGCCGTTAATTCGTCGATTGTAAACACACCAAATGCGATGGGTCATGTTGCGTTGAACCCGGCAAAGCAGTTAAACAATAGTCACCTTAAAAGACCTCCTCGGTTCCGATTCAAATGAATGAAAACGTCACATCGAAATTCGTTGAATTTAGATTTATTGCAAATGTGACAATACATAGTAAACACATTTAGGGGCAAAAATACACTTACACAATTGTATTGAATGTTGCTGTTTACAATTCGAGGAGGCTAACAATACAATTGAGATATATAACTATAGTTATGGCTGCTTTCATCTGTTACTTATTAATCCGAAAATTGAACACAATTTTTCTCTTATTATTTTATAAGATAAAATGAAATACTAACGTTCGTTTAGTTTCATTCTGGGCACTCCACAAAATTCGGAGGATTTTAGAAGATAGAAGAAAGTGAAGCTTATTCGCTAAATGTGACGTCGCGTCGTATGAGCGTTCGGCTTTGATCAGCATCGGCCGGTTGATCCTCCTCAAAAGTGAAATCAGTGGTTTCCGATCGTGAGCTGCGTACACTTTGCCGTGCCAGTGTTCTGTGTGTGTGTGTGTGTGTGTGTGTATATGTCACATCGATCCACAAAGTTCGAGAAAAAATGCACATGTTTATCGTAATTTCGTAAAGCACAGTTTGTTTTTGTTTTTGTTTTTTCTTTCTTCTCTTCAATGTCATAATCGTAATTTTTTTTTCGTTCGCATAAACTATATGTTTCAATCAAGTCAGGTTGTAATGAGAAAAAAAATGAAACAAATTGCAACGTAGCGCAGGGAGAATGAGATTTTTGTTGTGATTCAGTGAAACTACTTTTTGTTTTGCTTGAGAATCTGAATGAAATATGAATGAATAGCAGTGTCAAGAGTTGAATTTTTCTGAATTCGGAAGAAATGGATCAAGATTCTATTAATGATAAGATGGTCAACATTTGGTCAACAGTTTTCCGAAAAACCGAATTTCAGTCTTAAAAAACCGAATTTGTATGCATGTGAAACAGAGAAGAACAGTCACGGGTCTCATTTATTGCTGGGCCAGTGAAAAAGTGCCTGGCCCAGAGCATCGGGTCGCCATTGTAACGGATCGCATTAAAATAAGATGCAAATTTCAAGTCAAAGTTTCGAATGTTATGCTACTGCTACATTTCGTGAGCCGTCAAATTGGCTGTGTGTGTAAGGTGTTTCAATGGTGCACGGTGTAATTGCACTTTCGGTTTCAATGTCGGTCTCTGGTAATCGATCATGTCATGCTGTCTAAATCAATGGCTAAGGGAACGTATAAATTAGCAACAATTTCGATTGTTTTCACACAGAGCGGCTAAATGCAAAAGTCATTTCACCTGATCAAGTGTGTGCGTCCGTACTGCATTTTTGTGGTCGTTGGGTGTGTGGTCGTTCAGTCGGTGGGTCAGTCGGGCGGTTGGTTTTGAATGAAGCGTTTTTTCCGCCTTCGTCGTCTTCGAGAGGGAAGATATCGAGCGAGCGAGCGAGTGAGTGAGTCAGAGAGTATGTGTGATTTGTGTGACATTCACCAATTGGATGGCCTGTTTACGTTGGATGATGACATTTGTTTGCTATAATTAGTGAAGAGGTCAATGAAGAGAGAACTCTGTACAAAAATGTGCTGAATTGCGGTGCATTTAATTGCGTATTTGCCAATGGTACAAAATGAGCATTTGTCTATACTACATATATGTATTTACGTATTTTGTTTGTTATTGTTATCGTTTTTTTTATTCAAATACATTTTGTTGCTGTGTTTCAACTCGTAACTCGTTGTGATTTTCATTATTATCATCAATTATTTCGCTTTTGTTATGCGCCTTGTACCTTGTGTGCACATCTTAATTTCTTTAGCTGTTGTTGCTGTTGTGTTTCTTTTCGTAGCAATACAATAAAACTTTAAATGCCTATGAATGTTAATGGGATAGCCAACAAAATGATAATAAAACAACGAAATCAGACAAACTACATACAATCACATTTGCGACCAAGAAAGAAAGAGGAATAACCAGAGAGGGGCATAGAGTGAAGGACAGAGAGTGAGAGAGAGAGAGAGAAAGAGGGAGAGAATAATGAAAAAAATTGATATAAAGCACATAAACTATGAAAATACAACACACAAAACTATTCGTTTTTTTTTTTAAATTCAGAATGAAGCTTGTGTGCGCGCACATTGGCATGTAGGCAAAAGGCTAATGCGTTCAAGTAACAACAACACGGCAAACGAAAAGAGATCGACACACATCGTCTGGACGGAGGGTAAAGCGCATGGAAAAACGAGACAGAGCAGACCAGCAAACACGAAACACAGCCACACAACAGAGTGGAATTTTTTTTAATTAATTGTCATTATTCATGACACTTACCTTGATCCCCAATTACTCTGTTCAGATATTATCAGTGAGTCGGCCGGTGCTCTATGAAGTGCCCGAGCATTACGAAAGAAGAAGAGAAAAACGTAACAGTATTAAGAGAGTGAAAAAGATTAAGCATTTTTGTGTTTTACACTGGCCCGTCGACGTCCACCGACTCTAATCCAGCCTGAAAAACGAACCAACGAACGTACAAACGAAAATTTTCAAAGGAAATGTGTCGTCGTCGTCATTGTTTCATGCATTTTTTTCTTCGGCTGTGGTCGGAATTTTCTCGGAAATTTCTCAATTTGCTAGATGTTTGCATGCATGCTAAGATAAGGTAATTTTCTGCACAGAAACACGAACAATCTGTCCAATTGGTAGCCAGATTTCATTGACCGATCTAATCAACATTCAATATATACATTTCGAATGTGTGTGTGTGTGTGTGTGTGTGTGTGTTTGTTTCCAATTACGCGATGTCGAAACGATATTATATGTTTGTTGTATGTTTCTCTCTTTAATTATCCAATTTAATTGTGAACTCGAGAGAATTAGCCAGATGAAATAGAAAAAAAATATGAACGAAAAAACGCAAATGCAAATGCAGAGATATTTGTTTTGCTCCTTGCATTTGGTGGTTTATATGCCTCTTTTTCAGTACAAATTAGATAATGAAGGCTCATTAGTGCAACCGGCAAAAATTCTCAAGTACGGTGGTGTACTTAAAACGGCAAAATATGCACGAAAATAGAAACAAACACACAAATTTCCAAGCAAATAAGACACACACACACACACACAATATGTATCTAGATAAGTATCTTACTGATGGCTACTTGAACGCGTTATGCCGCGAGAATATTCCATTTTTTTGTAGATGGTCGCCAGTCCCAGAGCGATTGGCGTCAAAATGGCCCACAAGGACAACGACACAAATCCGGAAAACCACAATCCGTTCATTGGGTCAATGATGTGATGACAGAATAAATGGCGATTGGCATCGAATATATTGAACAACGGACGGCATGGAGCGATATTGTTCATAAGTTGCCGCAATGTTTCACGCTTATTCAACATCAGGTGTTCTTTGAGTCTGGTTGGTGTCGTTGTTGTTGATGTTATGGAAAAATAAAACATGTACAAAATAAATTATAACATCAATAAAATACACCCAGAACGAGATTTTGAGGAAATTAACTTTGCCATCACGAGTTAATATTATGAGCATTGGCACGGCCGGTTACCTTAATTTGAATGCCGTCGTTTTGTTGGAACAAATTTCAGCCGAGTCTTGATTGATGAAAAACTGTGTCGTTTTCAAGTGAGTGAGACTTTGGTTCACCATATCAGTCCATGGCTCTTTTTGCAATTGTAAAGCAGTTAGCTCAAATTGGATTTCACTTCGCAGACGTTCCAACGGTTGCAAAATATTAGATTGCAGGCGACGGGCTCGATTGCCCAACGTTGACATGCGTGATGATGTTGTGGACTCTTGAATCTAGAATTGGAGACATTTTTTTTTTGGATTTTTCAACTTGTTCATTTAGATTTTTGACAATTTTTCAATTCTTCATTGTCAAAAACATTTTCGTACTAAATTGGCAATGTACAAATACATTTTTCCATCTTTTTTCTCAATTCTTTCTAATTTTTTGTGAGATTTGGACAATTTTGGCTTTTTTCTTTTTTAAGATATACTATTTTGACACTTTTCTAATATTTTGGTATTACTTTTCTCCTCTAAACACATTTTTCCAAGTTTTTTTTTTTTGTGTTTTTTCTCTCTATTCTCTTCATTTCGAGTGATGATCAAATGTTGAATCATAACTGAGAAAAAAATCGTTGGGAAAAGCAACGAACCTGAACGGAAACCCGTTGCATTTGATCGATGAATGTTGATAAATCCTTTTCCGGTGTCGGTCGACTCAAGTCCGTTCTATATGCTAAAAAATTGATGTCGGAATTTGTGAACATGTAATTGAGTATGTTTTGCAGGTCTTCAGTTAATGTGAGGAATGACGAGGCGGATACAAAGATTTTCTATTGAAGAAAACGAAAAAAATTGACAATCAGTAGAGTCAAATCATTGATGAGATTCAATGGAAAAACATTCGAAAAATCGCAACAATTTTGCTCAATTCTCCGAAAAAGAAAAACTAATTTAAACTCAAATCGATTTGGTTGTCGAGTAATGGATATTAACCTCGATTTCATCTTCGAGACGGCTGTGCTCCTGAGCATCGAATATTTGTGAAATATTAACGATGCGATCGAATTGAAAAACGGCAAAGACGGCATCATTTTGTTGGCATCGTTCGATTGCATTTGCCAATGAAATGTTTAGCATGCGTGATTCATTGACGTCGGGCGTGCTGAGAAAGTCGTTCACGATGCCATTAACTGTTTCATTCTCATACACCCAACCAGGTCGATCGAATAGTTTGCTGAATACCTGATAGTTTGGTGTATCGTACAAAGGTCGACACAAGAACACTTCGCCATGGCTGCCAGCCAACAAGACTAAAATCGTGAAGGCTGCTAAACCAAAGCTGCCGATGGCAATTAGTACCGCGCTCAAAATGAATGTAATTTTTGCCGATGTTTCTGCATGAATGATTCCGAGCAACAGACTAATCGACAACAGCAATGAAATACATAGCACGGCCAAGGTAGTTGCCAACGACACAATCCACAGTAGATCGCTCGCATTTTGTAACTTTTCCATGAGCGGCCGCACATTCTCATGTTGTTCATTCACTTTTTTCACCATGCCATTCATCATATTGCTCAAATCTTGTGTGGCTGATCGTATCGAATCTTGAATATCCAACAGAACCTTCTCAATGCTCTCCACATTCTTTTTCATATCCATTTTGATGACCGACGGGAAATCCATCATTCTATCCTGCACCGCTCGCATTTCCGTCGAAATGTTTATGTGCTTGCTATTCACGTGATATTCGCCCAAATTCATCATGCGCAATAGGTTCGGATCACTTTGCATCTTGGACGTCCGATTTGGAAAAAGAAGGTGGTGAGAAAAGAAAACAAACCAAAGACTTTAATATGCAACAATTTGAAAGAGACAAACATTTAAATTTTGAAGTTGAATCGATGGAACAAATATGATAAAAAATATCACTCTTTTTTTGGAGACATGAAATTCCCTATTTTTTTGAGAAGTTTAATTTTCCATTCAGAGCCGAAAAAAGTATGAAGACGAAAGAGAAAAATCGAATAAATGGGTCATTAAAACGTGTTTGTCGTATCTCTTACCCGAGTCAATATGTTCAAAAGACCGTTGTCTTCGAAGCTGCGCAGTCGCAATGTGTCACACAGTGGACGATCACGTGATGAGCATTGCCGTTGCAAAATGGACAGTTGCACTTGAAATTCTTCGATCCGTGATGTTGCCTCTTTCGAGATGAGTATTGCTTTGCCCAAGGCATCCTGCAGCAATTGTACACGATGAATGAGCTCAAAGTTACCTGCCGAACAATGACCAAAAAATGAAATTCATTTACTCAACTGTCACGAGTATGAAGAAGTATGAGATTTGCATATTCAAATTCTTTTCTCTTTCAAACTCAATATTTATGTTGTTCGAAGCAGCGAAAAACAGTATATTTTTTAGCTAAAATGCAAATTTCTTCCGAATAAAAACGGCATGAGACATAGTTCATAATAGCTGCATTTGTATTCCAAAAATAGGAAAAATACCGGCAAAAGAGCAGCACTGTCCACTTTTTCTTTCTTTCTATTTGGTGCTGAAATCGGAGTATAATCTGAATCGATTGAAATGCGATAGTGTGTGCGTAACATACCTGAGCATATGGTTAAAATCGATTCGAGGGTGGTCTTAAGGCCGGAATCGGCTTCGATTTTCTTCTGAATTGGGTCGCCCAGCAATTTATCCACATCTGAAATTTTATTATTTTTAATTGGTGTATAACCCATTTATGGGTAAGTTTGCTGCACAGACAGAAAAACCCAGCTAATTAATTTCAATTAACACCTTACTTTCTAAATCATATTTGATTCGTTCAGATGCTGTGCTCAGTCCCTCGTGTATCGTCGAAATGATTTCTTTGTGTGCATCTTTGCTAAATGTTTCTACGTCTAACAGTGATGATTTCACAATGGTTGGGGTGTTTGATATTGTCGATCGTATGAGTTCATTGGTTATAAACATGACTGTTATAGAAGCTCTACAACGAATCGAATGAGAATTTGCGAGTTAGTGGCCGCCACTAACTTGAACATTGATGTCATTATTATTGAACTTACATTAGGAATAAGGTAAAAAATTGCAATAAAAATTGTAAGATACGACGACAATAGAGTGTGCTATCAATGTTTGAATCGTCGAACGATATGATCGGATTTGTTTGAATTTCACCATCAACGCCCGAGGAATGCATGTACATCGTGTCGTCCGGCTTATCACTTGTGCAGCACCATATCATCAGCGTGAAAATTGGTATGAATGCAATCAGAAGGAAAATCACCATCAAACCAATGAAGCCGGATTCAACTTTTAGCGCCTGGTTTCGAACGATGTACATGGAAATTGGAAGAAATTTGAAAAATATTAGTCGAAAAAGTATTTTTGATTTGAACATTCCGAAAGGCTATGCACGCTAAAATCTACTCTTACAAATTCACAATAATGAACTTTTCCAAATAGAACATTTCTAATTAAAACTTAGTCTTTCTTTTTCAATTGATCGAGTTCGGATTTTTTTTATTTCCTCTATTTAAAATGAGTAACATAAATTCCAATTTTGCGATGTTATTTGACAAATTTTTCGAAAAAAAAAATGCGCCGATCTCCAGCAGAAAAGTTCCAAAATCCAATTTCGACCGGAAAACTTCACACAAAAAGCGATTTAACTCAACAAAAATTCTATGGATTCACATCAAACTACAAATTCCATTGTGGAAAATCACATACCTCCCAAACGAGATTCACTACCGTTACTCTGGTCTCGAACACATGTTTGAGTAGCTCGAGGATGCAATTAACTGGCACCAACAAACAAAAAATACACACAAATTGAAGGTATAAATGAATTAGAGCGTGTGACTTATTTTTTCTCGTCTCAGCAAAATAAAAAAATAAACTGTCAAATACACTGAATTAAAAAGCAATTAAAATTCGTACCGACTGTTAAATCGCGTGGTGTAATATAGGTCAAGAAAACACCAAGATATCTGAATAAATGTCGTCCGTCCTCCGGTCCAATTGTGGCCGGCACAATGAAATATGTTTCCGGTTCGTCTCTGTGATCATCATATTCAACGAAAGTATCCTGTGTCACAGCGTTTTCGATCATCTTAAACCAAATAATACGCGAAGAAATTCCAAAACTCTCTTGCTATCTCTCAAATCCAATGAAGAAAAATCCACGTCAAATTTAAATCGATGATCGCGTTATGTCCATGATTGAAATGTGCGCGGGTTTGTATTCATTGTTCGAACTTCAACTTCCACTTGGCCACTTTCGGTTTCAATTTTTATCAAATATTCACTCAAGAAAAAAAGGCACTATCTGCGCTGCGGCGTTTAAGCCAAAACAATTTGTCACTACGCTGATCTGATTGCAAATCAAATACAAATTAATTGATTTCCACTTCGCGGTGAAAACAGCCGAATGATTTGTGTGGACAATATTTCAACGAATGCGAAACCGTATAGAAGACGTGACGAATTGAGGCCCATCACTACGCGTCATCGTTCACGTTTTTTCAGCGCTCGTTCACATTAACTTAATTATAACATTTTGGAATTTGATACTTTAGTGAAAGAAAAAGTACGAGTAGCAAGCGACTACAAGCACATTTACAATTGGCCCATGTAGAGAATCGGGGTGCGTTGTGTTGGTAGTAGCCGCTACTGCTGCTGCTGCACGGCGCAATGGAACAAATGAGGCGAAAGTTCATCAAGAACCCAAGCGGCTTATCGAAATGCAATTGATACATGGTGGCCGTTACATAAATGCTGTGCCGTTTTGTGTTCACTGGCCCTTTACGCGAGCACGGTAACAATATGTACATACAGCAGTATTCGATGAAGATATGTGTATGGCAAAGAAATTGGCTCGTTAGAAACCATACAAATCAAATGTGTGTGTGAGAGAGAGAGATACGTCACTCGTGTCATGGAAATGTCAACGAGCTTTCTTCAGACACTAATTGAGTCCATTGTTTGGCACAGCACATTCAAGATACATAGCCACCACAGCACTTTTAGCGCGTGGCTACAACGAAATCTGTTCACATTTATTGGCGCTTCAACGCATTTCTTCAGCTGGGACGTTGGATTTTCATTTCGTTTACCTTTGATTTTTTTTACATTTGACTTACTTTTCAATTCTCTGCTTAATTTTCTGAACAAAGATCGTTTTTTTTTTCATTCCTTCTGCCTGATTTTACTTTTTTGATTTTATTTTATTTCGCTTTTCGCGCTCTTCCTTTCGCTCCGTTTCCCGAACCGTTTGTCACATTTGAACTTGGGCCAACATTTCAAACGATTTTTCTACAATTTCAGCTCGTTGTTATTATGTTAACAATATGTTTGTTCTCCAATCAGGTAATTGATGATTCAAATGATAAATGATGACGTTCGCAAAACAATTGTCTTGCATAAGCAAAGCGCCTTTTGTTCATTATAAGCTTCAAAAACTTATTTAAAAAAAAAATCTTGTAAATTTCAAACCTATGTAGCATACAATTTTTGGTTTCTTTCAATTAAAAAGTACTTAAATTTTGTTTGTGAGGCGTAAAATGTAGCGCTTACGATCTATTATGCGATCAATTATTATTTGTGTGATTGTATAATTTCGTTCGTTTGTTCGCTCATTCGATCAGATTATTTTTTTTCGAATTGATTTCGATTTCAGTCATTAAATTTTAAATTAAATCGAATGATTGAATAATGAATTCGCTGCGATTAGCATATATTTTTATTTTCTTTGTTTTGTGTTTGAAACTGAATCAATTATTCACTTTTATCGAAAATCAAAGTACAATCGAAGGGAGTGTAATTTACACTGTGTAAATGAAAGGGATGATGAGAGAGTGAGCGAGAAACACCGTGGAATACAGAAGTCAGTCGAATGCGGTAAACTGCATTTAAAAATATGCAACACAGATCTCATTACGTGTTCAATTTTTTTTTTCGTTCATTCGAAATCAAAACGAGCTAACGAACGAACGAAGAAAACAAAAAATATATAAATGGTAGCTGACTGTCTTCATTAGCACACAATCAAAACGTTTTATAAATGAATCAAAGACCTAGAAATAAAATGTTTGTGCAGAGAGTGAGAGAAAGAACACTCGAAAATGAGCGACGACGACGACGACAGTCATTGGGGGCATGTGAAAGCCGACTTATTATGTATGAATTAGAACCCCGAATTAGCTAAACTCGATAATATTTCGAACAAAACTCAATTTTAGACACTTTTCTCTGTTATTGCAATGTTGACGATCAGAGGAGAGAGAGAAATAAACGTGTGACTGAATCCGCACACTTTTGCATAAATTACACTTTAAGAGTTTTGGGATTGCCGTGTAATTGAAAGTAATTATATCGTAGAAATAATTAAAAATGCGACTAGAATATTAAAAGCGATATTCATTGGTCGATATGCGCATGCTGCAGCAAAAACGCTATATTCAGTGTTTCCAAGGTCTTTTCCCCTTCTTCTTCTTCTTCTTTACTGATATTGAATGTGTACGGCTCAAGCGCAATGGCTTTCTAATGATGATAGAGGTTGCGATGTGTATTTTTTTTCCATTTCGCATTCGATTCCTCTTGGCCCGAGAAATGCAATATAGCTGTCGATCGTTTAATCGCATGCTAAAAAGCATATGTTAAAGGACCGGTTCGAAGTGAGTTCATTGCACACGAGGTTGCACATAGACAACCCGACTTGTCTATTTGTTGCTTGTCGATACCATTGGCACAAAAATGTAAATAAAAGCGAATTTATCATCTTCACTCACACTTACACACACGTATAGGTGCGCGCGTGTCCACACAGAATTCTATTGTGAATGGCGGAATTCTTTTGGGTCCGCAATTGAATATGTTTTTTTTTTGTTTATCAAAAAACCGCAAAGTAGCGAATCAAAAGAATTAAATTGTTCAAGCATCGTAAAAAATAATGGCTTCTGATTTATTTATTCTTCATGGGATGCTGGGGGAAGAGAGGAAGAGGGAGATAGAAAGAGAGACACAGAGAGAAGTTAGTTTCGATCTGATTTTTTCTCAATCACAGCGGATTGAAGTTGTTGTTGGTAAGGAGGTCATTCATTCATCAAGCTCTTTGATACGTTTTACCTGTTTCGAATTTTTGATGTGTGGCTGCACAAGAATTTTCTGTTGCTGTGTGTATTGGTGTGATCGTATGTGTTTTTTTTTTTAATTCTTTCTTCATTTTTCGGAATGAGTATACAACAAGCGGTTTCACGAATCCCAAATTAACGGAAAAGCCACAACCAATCAATTGGCATGTATAATTGATCAGTCCAGTGAAGAAAAAAAAACGTAAAGTTCACACAAAGTTTGTGTGTCCAGCGTGAACGTATGTTAAATATATACGAGCCAAAAAAGAATAAAAAAACTAACTCCAAAAATGCATACATAATCGGCCGTATTGAATGTACACACATACACATACATTTGATATGATAATTTTTTTTTGTTCGTTCGCTTAGACTTATCTTCATTTTACTATGTCGTTTTTACGGGTAAAAGCTAAAGTAAATCCATTTAATTGAAAATACACAAAGCGGCCCGAAAATGGTTTATAAGTCCTCATCCGCTGCCGCCGTTACCGCTACCGAATGTTATTACATTTGACACGCTGACTGATTACAATGCGTGTGTAATGAGAATGAGCGGAATAATGGGGTCCCGCGCATATTCAATGGTGAGAGATGGCAAAAATGTACAAAAGACAATGTTGCATTCGAAATTCAGAGAGAGGATAGAGGGAGAGAAAGAGAGGAAATGAGAGTCAGCAGCCGAGCACGAAAGAATTGAAAAGAGCGATGGCAGAGTGAAAGAAAATCGAAAGAAAAAATAAATTCGCACAGAAGCATGAAAAAAGCATGAAGATAGCACATTAGCTTGATCGGTGCCACTTCATAGTTTCATTTAGCACACAGATCGACAATTAGTGATTTGCGTACAGTGGCTGGCTTAGAATAAACCTGTAAAAATCAGGAGAAAAAAAACACCTAAATTACGTTCGAAGCAACAATATTGATGTGAAATAGGGAAAAAGCGAGAGAAAGACTAAGACACGCTCGATGTGCCTAATGTTGTCTTTGTCTGGTTCATGCATTCTCAAACTGCAATAAAGACAGATAAATACACAATAACACACCGCTCTTCGTATACACGAACACATGTATTTATTCGAATATTTTCGCATACAAACGTTCGACTCTCGCTGGATCACCTAACATAGACATCCAGAAGGTATGCATATACCTACACACACCGCACACAGGTATTTCTCTCATTTTCTGTGTTGTTATTTTTTCTTTTCTGTTCCTCTTTCATTCTATTCCATCGGTACGGTGTACGCGATCATCATCGTTGTCGACACAAACTACAGTGACGTTTCTGTGTGTGTACGTGCATGCTTTCTCACGTTGTTTCAAGTCAGTGGTCGCGTTGACTCTTTTGCACCGCCAGTGGTTTCGTCACAGTGCCATAAACAACACAAATATACACAGACACGCACACCTAGAGCTAGTAACAAAACAATGAATGAGCGAGTGTGAAAAAAAACGTCCATTTCCAACTCGAGTGGTCCGTAACACAAAACGGCCTCAACATTTTTACATTCTCACACAGTAGATACACCATTTACATACTTTCTATGCTCGGCTATGTCCGAAATATCAGGAAAAAAAAGAGAGAAGAGAAGAGATAAAGTGAAATAAAAGTAACAGCACACCGAACGAAAGAAGAACAAAAAAAATAACATAAAATAAAACCAGCAATAGCAACAGACAACGACGTCGAAGCAGCACACGCACACAGAGAGACCAGGCAAACAAGAAAAGAAGGACAAAAAACGTACCAATTGGTACGCGTAGCTCTTTTATAGCGTATCAAATATACACGCATTGAGTGAATAGAGCAGTCGCAGTCGAGTTAAAACACCAAAATACCTATATATGTATAAATTTCTCGATATTTTGTGTATTGGTCGGTGGAGTGAGCGTGCGCGCGCCTAATGCGAGAGACAGAATGAGATAGAACGAGTGATCACCTGGTGTAAAAAGATTGTAAACTAAAGTAATATTGGTATCTTTACGCTGTCTCATCGTCAGTCCTATTTCTACCTTTCATCGGGTAATATCTCACAGTCCCATAATAATAATAACGACACAGCGGCCAACAACGACGGCTATTCAAAAAACAACAACAACAAACAAAATAAACGAGACGAATTCATTTATTATATTTAAACTTTATTATTTTCCGATTAGTTTTTTTTTTAATTTTCTTCTGTTGTCGTAGTTTATTCTTTTTTGTATAATTTTTCCCGTTCAGTTTGCAAATTTCTCGGTTGAAATTTCTCTCTTTGCGCAAATTGTGTTCGTACTCAAAAAACGTACAGAGAATAGACGTGAGTTGTTGTTTTTTTTCTTATTGTGGGGTGAAGAGCGAATACTTTTCGACGGTCGAATTGTTTCGCACTGATAATAAAAGCAAATGTCGAATGGCACAATCGAAGTTATAAATTAAATAATTCGCAAGAAAATCAATAGATAACATCAATTTGATGCATTCGGTGCGATAATTTGCCTGCTAAATTTCGTTCGAACAACAAGTTTTTCGTTGTTGTCGTCGTCGTCGTCGTCGTCGTCTTCGTCATCTTCGTCATCGCCATCGTTAGTCCGAATTCAGATGTATCAAGTGAGTTTTGTTTTTTTTTTAACGCACAACAACAACAAGTCGAAAGAAACCAAGCAATTAAATTGAATTGTTCGTGTTGAAAAGACAATCGATCGTTAACACACAAAATAAAACACACGCAACAACATCAAATTGAAGAAATATTTGCGAAAATTTAAAACCACAAACGCATTTGACCAGCATTTTTTCCACCATCCATCATCACCTGTGTGTCTCTTCGAACAAATTCGATCGGTGTGTATAGCTTCGATTCTCGACTCGAATGACAGCAGCGAGATTTATTTGAAAGAAGAAAAAAAAACCACATTAGAAATCAATCAAACAAACGAGTAACCAACACATTTTGATGAGAGAAAAAAATAACAACAAAGAGTAAAGTGCGTTTTTTTTAGAGTGTTGTGTGTGCGTGAGAGAGACTTTTTGTAAAACATTCTGTGTAAACGTTTGGCACAAAGTGATTGAACTAGCAAACGAGAAAGAGAGAGAGAAAAAGAGAGACTGGATTATTGATTTTCGTGCAATTAAAAACATTGTGGACATACATATTTCATTTAAGTCATCGCCATCGCATCGGTGCGTAGCACTTAACACTTTTCTCTCTCACTCTCTGGAGACTCCGAACAACCGTCATATAACGTGAGAGAGACAGATATCGACAGAGAGTAAAAAAGACAACATTTAATAATATTAAAAAAAAATCATTAACATCAACAACAACAACACAACAAAAAATCTATCGGTGAGTCTCTCGTCAATACGTCCATTTGTACGCAGCGCGCATACGGAACAGAGTGAGAAAGCAACAGGCGCATACAAAGAGCATAGCACAAACAATCCAACCAAGAGCAAAGCAACAACCAACTGTGCAGAGCACACACAATATCAACAGGTTGCGGCACTTTACATTCTCTCGTAGTTGTTTTTTTCTCATCTTTTCCAATTCAAGTTAGAGAGAAGAAGAAGAAGAAGAAACAGAAAAAAATATAAATAAAACCGTCAAGTATATATTCGAAGAAACAAAAATTGTGTGTACGTTGAATGTGTGTAGGTGTGTAGTACGCGCGCATCCACAAAAATAATATAAAAATACCAGTGTTCCAACAAACACGCGACACACACACACACACACAGAAAATTGAAAAAAGAGAATCAAAACGAAAGAATCCTCACACAAACCGTTAGTAAATGAAAACAAATTGAAACGAGAGATAGAGAAAAAAAAACCACGCACATTTTGTGTCACATTTTGGCCACAACCATCGATGTATTTACTTGACAACTTTTGCGCCATCACAACGTGAATATTCAACAAGTGCGAGAGACTCTTTTCCCCCTTCGTTTGACAAACAACAAATCGATCGGTCGGTTGGTCGGTCGGTCAGTCAGTTTCCGTAATATTTTTTTTCTGTGTTTATGCACCGATGCACAATCCGTCAACATGATTTAGCATGTTTTACGTGACAACCCGAAAAAACACACAACGTCTAATTTGAGAGGAAAAAAAAGAGAAAAGAAAAAGTTGTTCTATTGCTGTGATGAAAAGTGTGATTCGATTGATGGACACACCAATACTCGTGTTAACTGAATTAACAAAAAAATAGCCAGATTGTTGAAGAATCCGTTTGTGAAACGTAAATACAAGCAGCCGAAAAGCAACAGCGGCAGTAGTAGTAGCAACCAACGTCAACGTTTATGTGGTTGAGGTGTGCATCATCAAACCATTGATGAACTTTGAGACTATTTTATTCGGCGAGAATCTATAGGCGATCTTTTTTACGTAAGTTTTTCCTTGGTTTTCTTGATTTCTTTTTTTCTTTCTTTTAAATTGAAACTTCCTTCCCGAGTGTGTGGCTCGGCAGAAGCGAGTTCAGGAACAAAATAAAAGAGACATGTCGCTCGGAAAAAGAAAAAAACATCACACACAATCATAAAATGTGAGACGAGCGATTGCCGCACAATTTGCATTTTCAATTTTCGATTCCGTAGTGCGTATTGGATGAGAAGCGCATATATACGGAACGTGAAGAGTGAGCAAAAAAACACAACACTCATATTTTGTAGTTGGACTTGGGAATTGAAAGTTAATGACAGTATTATATTCGGTTTGAGTTATAAGTGGCAACCGGAGAAAATCATTAAACATGCAAGTCGCTTTCATAATCATGCGATTTTTTTTTCTCAATTCGTTCTGCTGCTGCAATGAAGAGAGAAAAAAAACACAACACAGCCAATGTAGGTTATGCGCATGCAGACACATTTGTGCAGTGCAAACAACAGCAACACCAGCAGCAAAAGCAGTAGCAGCACAGGTGTTTCTCACACGCTCAAAAGGGTCGTCGTCATCGTCGAGCAATGTTCGGTCACACGGGCCCTGGCTAGACCAATTTCAATCAGATTTACCAATTATCGACTAATGGCAAGACAATTAGAGATTCATGTTTGTGTCGGATCGAAATGAAAAATGACTTTCGATTCCGTGAAAAGAATTTCTAGTCGCTTGTCGTTGAAATCTTTTCCATTGCATTGACTCTTCCATTGAGTGAGCATGTTTCTTACATCGGTTCATATTCTGTCATCGGCTACACACTCTCGGTGTCCGAATCAATTGCATTGTTTCAACAGTGGGCAGCAATTTTGTGTGCCTGTGCATGTAATGGTTCGATAGTCACGGCCCAAAACTTCACCGAAATCATCAACAACAATAACAACAACAACGATTAATATTTACGATTTGATTTTTCATTTATTTCGTTGATTTTTGTTCGTTGTTGTTTCGTATGCGCGCGCGCTGGTGAATCTACATATCATTACAGTATTACTACTAGGTACTATCATTATGTATTGTACGATTCATTTTTGGCATTAAAATAATCATTATCTAAATGATAGGTCATTAAGTAATCATTTCCAATAATGAATTTTTACGGTTTGTTCCAATAGATCGTTCGTTGTTTTTTTTTCGTCGTCGTCGACGCCGTTGTTGTCGAGGCGAGAGAATGTGTTGGTTCGTTCGTTTGTCGTATTCGATAAATTGGTTGTCGTTTGCCAATAGCCGCGAGCCGACTATTTCCTAACCGAACCAACAACGACAAAAAAAAACAGATACAAACGAGTCTAATGATAAGACGCGCCACATATAAGCCAAAATAGCAATTTGTTGCCAAGAGAAAAAAAACTGCATGAAAAAAAAACGTAACAAGAATCTCTTAACTCTCATTTGAATCATTCGATCGATTTGCTTGCCAATCGACGATTTCCTTTGATGGGAAAGAAAAAAAAATGCGCGCGCACACACACATACACACGCTCTGCACAAATTATGAAAATTTTCTATTCATAAACAGTTCGATGAATCAAATCGCAAAGTGCGACACCGAGATTACACAAGCAGAGAAAACTAAGCCCAGTGCCGAGAGTGAGAGCGACGACGTGATCATGGCGCTGCAGCTGACAGTAATTATGGCAGCACATTAAGCTGTTAATGTAAAATGTCTCATTTTATTACATGCATCTCTCGTTTGTCTGACATGTCTATGACCATTGTACGAATGATGATTGAGGCGACTCATTCACTCTCCTTCCGCATGCATTTACTCAAATCAGACACACACGGCCATTTGTTACTTTCTTTTACTCCAGCCAACCAGCCACTTAGCTTAATGTTGAAGACACATACACGACTGAATGGCAAAAAAAAACAAAGTATGCCTTGCAATTTTGCATTAGTAACCGATTGTCGCAAAAGAAAAACTAAAATTGTCTAATGATTTGCTGGAAATTTGTCGAACAATTTGCTTGAAATGTCGAAGGGGATTTTTGCCATTACGACTTTGAAAAAATCTACCTGAAACATTATTTCATGATGAGTTTTCCAAACAGACTAAACCTCTTGTTGGAATTCGACTTTTGAAGATTCAGAAACAATTCTTTTTTGCAAGCGATGGAACAAAATGTCGAATTTCCCCTTTTCACACGCAAAAACAAATGTCCGACTCAAATGAATTCTCACTGTTCCATTTTTTCTTAAACGAAAAATATGATTGATTCAAACATTATTCATAGTTGTTGATCACGATCAATTTTCTTCGTTCGACGAAAGTCTAACCAAACATATTCGAGTCGATGAACTGTGAGTCAATCTTTTTGAATATTCTCTTTTTCGACTCCGCATATTTAGTCGCAAATTTCAAAGCGAAAGAAAAATGTTGGTTCGGCACCAAGGAAATAACGAAGTATGGTCTACATGCGCCAAAATAACAAATCAGATCAATTACGTTTGAACTGCGTCATATCAGTGTAATTTTTGTTGAATTTTCTTAAATCTCACTTGTTAAACCCGGCCGTGCAAACAAAAGACTTCGATTCACCGTCATTTTCTCTCGCTTTCCGTGCGTGTATGACATACACTGTATGTGTTGCTGCCTGTCTGTGGTGTGTTCCATAGGACGAACCAGAAAATTCGAATTGTCCAATCTGGGTGTGCAGTAATCTTTTGTTTTTCATTCTACACGGTTCGAGGTTTGGTTGTATGATTGTTGTTAATGTCATTGCAATTAATAAATACATAGCTGCATTTCGAATTAGTAGTGGTTAAAACAATTTGGCTCTGGGTTATTTGCTAACTCGCCAAACATACTGACACTGCCTGAATAATAAAGCAATTGACACACAAAAATACGAAACGAAACGGCTAAACGAACGAACAGCAGAATGAATAACGAAAAATTGAGGATGAGTTTGCCATTTTGTGTGCACACAGTCAACATCATTATTGCAACAACAAAAAAATAAAGAAGAAATAATAAAACAAAAACAACGCACACACCAACCGAATATACACTTTAGAATATATGTGCGAGGGAATATGTCATTACTTGGAATGGGCCCATGCCATTAGACTAGGTTTTGTTGTTCGTAACGATGATTGTCTTCTTTTCTTCTTCTTCTTCTTCTTTTTCATTTGTTTGTAATTTCTTTGTATTTCGTTTCATGTATGGCATTTTTCATATGTGGCATTTGGCTTTAAGTCAAATCAAACAAGCCGTAAGTCGTCATGTTTACAAAATCACAATAATTAACGTTATGAATGGATATGGCAATGGCGGTTGAATCTTAAAATCATAAATAGTAATCAATAAACTAAATGATTTGTGTGCGATACATTGTATTCTGGTTTTATCTGCGTGGAAATTGATATTTTGCCGTGAGGAAATGATCATTTCGAGAACATGAACCGTTTTTGAGAAGCTGATTTGACAGAGAAATAGAGGGCGAGAGAGAGAGAGAGAAATAGTCGCAACAGATCATAACATTTTCCAGAAGCCACAACATGAAATGCTTCTTATGTTTTTTTTTTTCGCGGAGCTGAATTTCACCTTTGATCATGTGCGTGTGTCGTCTATAAAAACCGAAACAAAAGCGTTGGTAACTGCTTATCATTCGGCCTCACCAATATCTGGAGAGGAAAGAAACAAAAACAAAAAGTCATTTGTTTTCCTTCAACAATCAAGTCATAATTAAAACAACAACCGCAACAGCAACAACATCGCCTCACCACGCCACGGCCAAACGAAACCTTGCCTCGATTGTACAATGCGAAATGATTTTGTTGCCATCATGCGTAATGAATGAAAACACAAAACAATAAAAACTAAAATAATGAAGAAAATAAAACCGAATTGACCAAACAGTATTAGGACCTTTTATTGCACAGTTGAAGCAGCATAAAAAAGAAAGAAAGAATGAGAGAAGGAGGGAGATGGAGTGAAAAATGGTCAGCTATCATATTACGTGGCAATCGAACGAATCAAAACGGTTTGTGCATAAAAACATGACATATGATCCAGTGGATGGCGAATGAGCGCTGTAAGAAAAGAGTGAGTCGAGTATATATGCGCGATCGAATCAGTGGGCAAGCGTTTGTTGGCTTAGGCTAACGCGTGCGACAGAGCGTTCTCTGCGCGTTTTGTGCGGTATCTGCGAATAAACCTGTGCATTTGTTAATTCGTGCAATGAGAAGTGAGCGAGCGAGTAAGATAGAGTGAGAGCATTTGCAACAGCAAAATGTTGGTGTGTTTGTACATTTCAACAATTCATTCAAAAAGTGGTGCAATCGAGCGCTCTCATTCACTGCACACACAGAGGGAACAATTTTATTTGCTGCTTTCAGTTGCATGCTCTTTTTTTCGCATTAAACAAATACAATTTGCATCGGCATACACTTTAATCACTCTTTTTTTTGCCTTTCTTCGCCACAGTAGAACGCTTGGATAGCGTGCACGTTGTATGTGCACATTTGTTTTTTGCTAGCAACAGCAGCAGCTTGTGTATCGGTTACAATGTTAACTACATATCAAATCCAAACTGAATGCAGTGATTTTCTATGACGATGTTAAGTGCACAACGAGAGCGCAACGCGTGCGATTTAAAAAGACTAACGACGATTCCGCGTATTTCAAAATTGCAAAATTGCACTCAACTCTTTCGATTTGAATATGAGCATTACATGATGAAAATGGTTTTTTTATCAAAATAATATCTCAAATTGGTGCCCCTGCCGATACCGGCTCCATATTATTCATTTCCTACTACAAAATTCAACTTGAAACAATTATAACGTGTTTTTTTTCCTTTCTGTTTCGTCGTCATCGTCAAACGAGCGTTTGTTTCATCTTTCGGTGGTGGTGTGTTTATCTATGTGTATATGTTTTTTTTAATTCTCCCAACGCCACTGTGCTTTCCACTTCATTAAAGTTGTTTTGAAACGCAGTTGATTTAGAACCTTGTACTTTGTATTTTTCTACATTTGAAAAAGCCGTTCGTCATGTCCACTCTCGTTTATTCGTTTGATTTATTTGCATGACGATCGCGGGTTTGTTTGATTGCGGATAAATATGTTTGTGCGGTTGTATGCGAGAGCGGTGTATATGCTTCGCTTGAGTTTTGATGACGAAAATTCAAAGGCGACCGTACTCATTAGTGTAACGATCATACGCGCCAATCAATTGCGCCCAAAGCTCAATGAATTCGGACCATACACAATGAACAAATTAGTCAGATTACCTATCAGAATTTCCATGCGGTTGTTGTTGTTGTGGTCGTTAGTGTGGTTTTTTTTTTTTTTTGTTTGAAGGGCTATCACAATCGTGTGGCAGTATCGTGCAAAGAGGAGAGAAAGAGAGACTATACAATGTTGCCACTTGACAAGGTAAACTCAATGAATTTCCTTTTCGCTCTTATAACCACAAGTACAATGCGATTGCCCTGGCCGTCATCGATTTGTTTATCTGTCAAGCGCATCAAATCGATCACCACTAACTCCAAAACAACACAGCCACGATTTTTTCGAACGACAATAAAAAAAACACACACTTTTCGATAATTGTTATCGCACGATGACTGTGCATGACATTCCGTACCTACTGTTTTGCACCCATTTTTGGCCTGACAAGAAAATGTCATTCGTTTAATTTTTTTCTTTGAATAAAAAAGAGAAGAGGTGCCATGTTGACTGTAGGAAAATACATAGATTTTTTTTGTCTCACACAAAACACTAGGGCAAGGAAGGAGGATATTTTTCTCAATTCTTTAGACTTCTCATTCTGAATAGTCAGTTTTTGAAACATATTTAGTGACCCACTGTTTGAATACAGTTTCGGAAGATAAATTTTGGTGCCAAATTTGTTGGTCAATTTTTAGATCCCATTTTTGTAACTAATTCTAAGGCATTTGTTTTCAATGCCACGTGAAAACAATTTTTTCATAAGTTTCGATGAATCGAGAAACCAAATTACGGAGGTGCTTTAAAAAACACTTCTAAAGTGTCTAAAGTCAATTTCTTGAGACGTATTTTCAAAGTGTTATAAGCTGTTCGCGGTGCTTTGTGTCGAAAACGAAATTTTTTCCGTCTAAAATTTTCTTCGTGTGATTGTTCAAATATTTGGTCATTTTGTTGGTTTTTCATTTGGTTTTGCACGCCCGCCAGCCCAACACTGTCTTTGTGTATCTTTTTCAATGGGTAAATTTTTGTGACAGAAAATCAAACAACAACATATCGCTCAGCATGATTTGCATTTTTTTTTTGCGAAATGACCAAATTCCGAGTATGTGTTTGTCACTATAACTCATTGCGTGCATGTATAGAACATTGAATTGAAAATCAGCTGGATTTCAGAAAAAATGGTTACAAATTTGAAGAGAATGAAAAAGAAACAGCATCTATTTTGTTGAGAAATAACATGCTAACGAGTGAGCGATCGAATCGAAGAACAAATCAAAAGGAGTGTATATTTATTTAAGACGATGTGTTTAACAACCTTTTAGACTCAATTTGGAGGATCTATCCAACTGATGTGGTAAAGAATGTTGTCACATACTTATATTATCGTATGGATTTTTTTATATGAATATTCAGAAGACGAGAAAAAAAATATCAAACGTGTAATTTCTACATATATTTGTAAATTGGGAGAGGAAGAATGATGAAAAAAGAGTTGTGTGAGATGAGTTACATTCTCGGCCACTAAAATAATCATCTCGGCCACGGTATGAATAAATTTCGAAGCACTGAATTTATGCGTTTGTTTTCTCTCTCTCTCTCTCTCTCTCTCTCTCTCTCTCTCTCTCTCTCTCTCTGTCTCTCTGTCTCAAGAAAAAACACCGTTGCGTTCCAAACCAGCATTACACTAACTAAGCAACAGCTCAGCGCGTTGAAGAGAGAGAGAGAGAGAGAGAGACCGCGAAAGAGCTATACACATAGCTTCAACAAATCTTGTAATCGAATGACTTTTTACGAATACTTGATATAATAACCGGTTTATCATACAGAATTTTGTTTTTGTTTTTATTCAGTCCGAACATCTTCCGATTCAAATTGGAAAAACCTTGCGATTGTGTATGCTTGTGTGTGTGTGATTGGTTTTTATGTGTCCAATAAATCCATGAATGGGACGACGAACATACTCCGACTCTGTCGAAGAGGAAGAAGAAAAGAAAATTTCCATTGATTTTAATGCAAATGATTTTTTTTCGTTTCTTTATTTAGATGCTGGACAAAATCATCAAATCACAAGTCAATTGTCTCTCACTCGCTCTGTTTCAATCCCTTTCCTTTTTGCTCGCTTCATTTTTGTCTCCAACATTATTTCCGTTTTTAGTTTATGTCTCTCTCTCTCTCACACACACACACACACACACACACACACACAATATTTTCAATGTTCTCAAACTCTTTTGCATTCCGTTTTCTCTCTTGAAACCTCTCTTTCTTCTCGATCGACAACTCTAAGTTTAGAATCCAAAAGTCGTTTGTCATTGTTTTTGGAAAGACTTTTGCTCTCTTTCCCTCCCGGTATTTTTCAAAAGACCATTGGTGAAGAAGACACTGGAATCCGTGGGAATGTTCCATTCATTTCTTTTGTCTCTCTCTCTCTAAATTTTTCTATGATTTTTGATTTGTGACAAACAACACAAAACCAGAACTAGAAACTTGACTGAATCTATTTTTAGTGGCGATGTGTTATTATTATTTATTTTATGTTGATATACGCGATTCGATCGACTAGATCTAAGCTAAGTGTCTATAGACACTGTTGGAAACGAATTATGTGCATTCGGATTTGATTCGATGCGTTCGCTTCATACCTTCACTTACTTGCTCGCCCGTTTGCTAGCTTTGCTCATCCATAGAAAATAAAATGTTGTTTACATCAGCGTCTCAGGTAAATGACATGCGCTTCGAATGTTCCGAAAAAACAGGTGTGTTTTTTTTGTTTGAAGATTGAGCTTTAGAAAAAAGCGAATGCATTTCGTCGAATCAAGCCTTGGTAAATACAATTATGAAAAAATGTAAAAAAGAACAACGGTGTGTGTTTTGATTCACAATCCAAGATTCGACAAGTCAGAGCAAAAAAAATATGTTTATGTACGTGAAGATGTTTTTTTCTCGATTTAAATTCCTCTCGTTCCGTCGTTAATGGGATGTGGAGGTCTTAGGTAAGCTTGTGCGAGTGCACATGCGTGATCGCACGGCATCAAGAATAATGACTTTTTTCGGTTTTAAGTACGCGGAAAAGTGCTCAAAGAACACTAGCAGCAGCATAGATAAGCCAAAACGGTTGAATCTTTCTCTTTCGGAAAACGACTCGAAAAAATCAACCAACAATCAAAACGTATACCTTTACGAAGAATGTTTCTTTAATATTTTCTTCATCATCATCTACTTCTTCTTCTTTTTTTTCTTGTGAATAAAACGACCCATGCGAGCTTATAATAGCGAAATCGAGTCAAGCGGTGTGGTATGGTCGGACAATTATCACGTATACGTGTATATTACCAGTGTTGTTCTGAAACCGGACAGAAATACACGTAAAAAAACGACACGTACAGCAGGGAAAAAAATGAAAGAAAGAGCTCGAGACAGAAAAAAAATGCCAGAACAAGCCATTAAATCGGACGAAACACATCTTTCTATCTTAAATTTTTTTTTCGCCGTGTATACACGCGGCCCGAATAATGTGTGCGCTTATTTTCAAAAAAAAAAAAAAAAATTCATAAGCAACCGGTTCCATTTCTTATACTTTTCAATATACTAATTTAAACGTGGTTTCGAGTCTTTATTTTTCTTCTGTTTCATTCAAATGCTTTTTTTCTCTTCATCTTTCTTGACCGTGCGCGCTTTACCGCGGAAAATGATTACTGTTTTTAATGAAAGAAGAAAAAATGGACTGTTTCCCAAAAATTCGACTTGTTCGACGTACAGAAGAAGAGCGCAAACAGACAAAAAAAATGAAGCCGAGAATGGCAATTTTTATTTCGTACTTATGTTTTGTATTTTCCTTGGAACATTTTTCTTCTTTTTTTTTTGGTTCGAAAGAGTGCAAAAAAGAGAGTGCTGCAAATGCGGTCGGCGAAGGGACTGAAATGCGTTATGGCTTAAGAACACAATGTATAACATTATTAAGCTCAAAACAAAAACTGAACGAAGAGAAGAAGAAAAAAAATCGTCTCTCTCTTTGTCGTCGATGGCTGTGTGCACACATACACACACACAGTACGTACACGATCACTGCGTATAGTCTTACATAACGCTACCTAATAACGGTATCACAATAACCAAAAAATCATACCAAAATCACGGCTCACATCCGATAACTGTAAATGTGCACTTTGCGCACGATGCGAACCAACCAACACGCTCGCTTGCGCGCGCGCACACACTCACAGTGTGTGTGCAATCAGATTTCGGTGAAATAATTGCAATGTTGCATGCAAACCAAAAGCGAAACAAAAAAAAGCAACAACAGCAACTACACACCAATTCCAATGAGCAGAGTTGCAGAAGCACACAGCAGCGAACAGTGAGGAAAAAAAATAAATAAGAAATTACGTCTGTTGTTGCGAGAATGTTGTGTTTCTTTTTTTCCGTTGTTGTTATTTGTTCCCCCTAAGATGAACCGAATTGTTGTGTGAATAATTCAATTGAGTGTTTTGTTGTATGTGTGTGTGTGCGCGCGTCACATTATCTTTTCTCAACTGTTCTTTTGTTGATATTGCAGAAATGTTGGTGCCAGGACATGTGTGTTCGTTGTATGTTGCAACAGGAGGTGCTAATGGAGCGGCACTGGGATCAGACGAAAAGGAAGTCGTTCTGCTGGACTACAGTGTGATCGATGTGTTAACCAATGAGGTAAGTGTTCAAAATCAAAATTCCTTCAACTTACTTTTAAGTGCGGCGCTCTCTCTCTCTCTCTCTCTCCCTCTCTGTATATTATTTCTTTGAATTTTCAAATCCACGTTTCTCTTTCTGCTTTTTTTTCGGCCAGCGTTTCGAATTTTAATTGAGTTTAAGTGCGCCATTTGCCCATTGCATATGAATGAGGTACGCGCAAGCAGGCAAACGCAATTGCCCGATTGTTATCGAGTCGTTTGGTTTTAGTTTGATATCAATTCAGTTCGAAAGAAAATACAGTTCAGGTTAAAGTTGGTATATTTTTAAATAATTGCTTCGCCTCGAAGCCATTTACAGCAACGAACCGCAGACGGTGTGAGAGAGAGAGAACAAAAATCAATTTTCGGAGCAAACAAAATATAACATTGAATTGACTATTCAAATTCCATTTACTCATTTCCTTTTCGACATATCAATGTGTTTCGATCGACAGGAAAACCCTCGATTTGAATTGACTAAATATGTGGCCCATGAACATTTTTCAAAATCGATTTTTTTTTCTGTCTTCATTCCTCTTATCCGTAGGGAAATTAATTCAAATTTAGTACTCTAAGTTTTTTGATCGAACAAATAATGTAAATCACCTTTTGACACGTTTTCTTTCTCGTTGCTCATGTTGCATGGCAACTCGCAGGTAGTTTTATCCAACCAATTTCTAGTCCGACCAAATGGTCAACAAGGAGAAAAAGAACAAAATAACAAAAAAGACAAGACAAACACACCCGAAACCGCTACATCAACTGCATCCACAAATGCCGATACACCAGCACCATCAGCGCCCGAATTCTCATTCGCCGAGACGGTGCTGCAGAAAGTTGGAAAACCGCTTAAAGATGTCATTGAACAGGTAAGAACCAACGAGTTTTAACTTTTTTTCTGAACGGGATACACCGAAAAAAAAAATTGGGGAGAGAGAAAGAAAAATAAGTATAAAAAAGACTGTGTGCAGCAAAGAAAACAATATCAATTCGATCGATCGTTCGGTTGAATGCATGTACGTAACTTGACGGAAAACTTCTTTCGATTTTGGATTTTCGCCTTATTTCAATCTTTCGCTTTATCTGCACCAAACACGTTTAGTTGACGAAAAAACCGTTCATTCACTTCATTTTTGCCGTTTTTAATGGAATTTTTTACTGTTTTGAAGATCACTTCATTTTTTGGATAGTATGAATGTTCCAGAGGATTTTTAACTTTAATTCATTTTCGGTTCGTTACAAAAGACTTTACTTTAAATTCATTCAACGATTTTCTTTTTCCTCAACAATTGGTTTTTCAACGCGAATTTTTCCAGCGTTGTCGTAACCCCTTTGACTCTTAACCCACCAACTGTCATCGTGATTTGCATTACATCGACCTTTTGCCTCTTGAAAAACAACAACTTTCGGAGAGTTTCCTGTGCATAAATTAATGGACACCGGAAACAAAAGCTTATGATAACAATAAAATGGAAACCAATGTAACCTTTTCTTCGATTCAAACAAACATTCAAATGAATTTTCCTCGACAAAAAAAAACTCTGTAATAAACGAAACGAAAAATTGCCATGTTTGTTTGTCGATGTAAAATTCCTTGCGTGTTTAAAGTTGAGCAAATGCAAATCATGTTAGTTGAATTCAATGTTGTATCGACATCTATAAAAAAAATTGAAACAAATATGGTTTGTTTTACAAAATCACCGAGTATCCAAAATGCGTTGATGCATGAAATAGCTCCGAAAGTTGTAATATATTGTAACGAAATAGTTCAATCCAAATGAAATAACATTGATGATGCGTCGTTTTTGTGTTGTTGTTGTTGTTGTTCAACTCGTACATTTCAATTTTCAGTTGTTCAATTTTCATTCATATTCGATTCTAACTCTAATAAGTATTTTACATTTCATTTTGTTCGTTCAAAATTTCAATTTGTTGTTGTTTCTCTTTCTGTTAATTGTACCAATGGTGCACATATAGTTTGACCAGGAGATTCGGTCGCGGAACATCGATCCAGATAGCCCAACGTTTCGACTAATAACGGATGGTCAATTACCATTGCGACAATGCCTGCATCCTCAAGCATGTGCCAAAGATATAGAATTGCCCAATTATTTTTGCAAATTTAGCGATCTAAGAAAGGAATTTGTCCGATTTAAGACGTCGGATGCGTGGCGATCCGTAGTACCAATCAAAGATTTACCAAATATGCCACCACAGATGCCAGTTCAACCGACGAGCATAGCTGACATGATAGCAGGTAAATTATTTTCAACTAATAATAATTACTCGTACATATAATTGCTCCGGTTTGTGATGATTTCTCGATGGCTATCATGACTTTTGTTGTTTTTTTTTTCCATTTGAATTACATAGTCAATGAAAAGAGATGAAAAAAAAGTTGTGAACAATGAACAAATGTTCATTTTTTTTCCTCAATGGAATGGACATTTTTATGCCATGAAATCATAACAGCAGAACCGGATGATCACTTTACCAATATTGACCTTATGAAATAAATTTATATTCTCGTATGTGACATTTTCCAAATAATAGACTTACAAATCGAAGCGACCGCCCAACGAGAAGACGCTGACTTTTACTTTAACGAAAGTCGAGACATGGTTACCGTTATTAGCAAAATGTTGGAGGCTGGTAAGTGTACAATGTACATTATCGATTTTTTGTTTCGTTCGGTCGTCGTCGTTGTTGCGGTTGATGTGCCAAAATGAGAGTCTTCCGTGGTGTTTGTTTAATGGAAGAAAGAACGTGGTATATATGGTTCTATAGCATCGAGCGTCGGTTGTTATTTGCTTTCTGTTTTATGCAGAGACTCATGGCAATTATAACGTTCCTCTTCTTTTTCTTCTTTTATTTCTTTATTATTCTTCTACTCTATTCATTTCTCTATTTGGTTTATGTTTCTCTTGTGATTTTATTCAACTCTCTGATATTTTTTTTGCTCTATAAACTACAATTTATTCGCATGAAATGACTAATCCACATCGAATTCGTTCCATTTTACTAAACAGGTCACAAATTCGAATCCAGTGAAATAATAAATCTTACATTCGAGCCGGGCATTTGGTAAGTACTTGTGTTTTTATTCATCCGTATTTTTTTTTGTTCGGTTCGTTACCGTTCATCGCACTTGACTCGACGCGTTTTTTCGTTTCTTTGCGTGTGTTTTTTTTCTGGCTCGCCGGAGTTAATGTTCGGTTTCGTTGTTTTCAAGCATTTTAATACTCTTTTCTGATTTTAAGTTGGCGATTTTCTGCGCTGAGAATCGCTTTTCGGTTGCTTCTTCGTTAGCCAAGCGATTTTTCGGAATGACTTCCAATTTCCGAAAATTGTACGTTAATAAATCATTTGCAGCGCAAATGAGCTGTTTCGATGGAGAGAGAAAATTGAAGAGTCTGTACCGATATTTTCAAATCACTGCACGGCTACCTCCTTAATAATTAAGCCTAAAAGTAGTCATTAGTTAAGTACTTTGCTATAGCAACACAAGCACATCATTACACACTCACTCACTCACTCACTCACACACTCACACACGTTGGACAATACGTGACCATCTATAAACAATTGCAATACGATTTTTTTTCTTCTTCTTCGTTCCCTTCTTCTTAATGTAACGTAGAGTATAGTATTTTAGCTGTCACAAAATCCGTTTGATTGCATTCCGTTGATTTGAGAATATCATTGCCGTGTCAAATGAAACAGAAAAACACAGAATAATTATGGAATTTGATGGAAGAATAAATAAAATCAATCCCGAAATGAATTCATTAGCATACGTGCAAGTTTTGAAGTGGAAAATATGCAAAAATACATCGATGAGAAATGTTTCAACTGAACAGAACACGAATCTCTAATTGTCATCGTGGTCACCAACATATATCGCGTCGTTTGTTTGCACTTGTCATAACGTGCAATTTGCCTAACACATATTTAGCGAACAAAGGTGCACACAGGTCTTCATCTCTCTCTCTTTTTGTGTGTCTGTCTCGCTTACGCCGGTGTATTCTACACACACCAAATTCAACATTGGGTCGCTCTGTGTCATTGTGTTCAGTTCGCGTGATCTCGTGCTAGGCCATTTCATTTGGGTGTAGATGCAGTTAAGTGTTTAGCCGTTCATGTTGAAAGAGAAATAAAATCGATTGATTTTTTTTTTTCGTCATAATTTTTGTGTTCCAAGTGATCTTTTCGTCGTTGTGTGTCGCAAACCGATCGATGCATAAATAATAACAGCTAACAAATCGAAAGCCTATGATTTGTACGCACTTCAAACATTTTGATTGTTGTTGTTGTTCGTGGTGGACTAGAATGTGGCGAATGTTTTCCTTGCTCTCCTAGAATTATCCAAACAAACGCAATGGAAACAAGCAAAGCCAAAAAACCAAAAAGGTATGTGGAATCTTCTTCGGGCCGGCCAACCAAAAAGACTTGATCCACCGTTTTATGCTTGGCGTGAGTGTGTGTGTGTGTTTTTTTTTTCTGTTGAACCATTCTAAGCGACTTTTACTTTTTGAAAAGTGCGTCTGCGGTTTCATCTATGATTCAAACATGTTACCTAATTTTTGTGGAATTCTATTGTTGCGGTTGTGTTTTCGATTTTCGTTTTTGCGCTGCCGCCGTTTGTTTTCACATCAAAATCGAATAAAATGGAATTATTTCAACATTTTCGCATTTTATACACGAACATTTTAATACCTGGTGGCTCTCTTTACGACCGACTAGTTATGATCGCAATTCGCTGTGCTAGCGCGCGCGAGCGCACCTGTGTATGTGCTAGTGAGTGTACGCTGATTTTTTGTTTGTTTTGTTTCTTCAAGCCATTGCCAAGCGCGGTGTGTATGTGATTACGTATTGTAATAATTGTTTGATGCAATGGTTATACATTATTTTTAGCCAATTTCAACTAAAGAGAAGACAAATCAGCCAACCAACAAAAAAAAATCGTTATGGTAACATTGTAACCGGCTAGAGAATGCATGGCTTTTTTTTTTTGATGCGATGCACTTTTTTGTTTGTGCACAAAACGTCGGTCGTTTCTTTTTAGTTGAAGGGATTTTATAATTCTCAACTTGGAACATTGCACCGGTGCGCCGCATTCAAAACCCCATTCTCAAGCTGAAACTCTCTATTAGAGAATCGCTAACAAATGCGTGTTATTTAGAGCAAAGGCATGCATTCTTACGGTATTTGAAAGACGAAAAAAAAAATTAGATCGAAATACTAGAATGCCAAGAAGTCTTGGCCCAAGGCACAAAACATATTCTCTATTCGATTGAATGAACAATGCAATAATCTGTAATTTATTGTAAATAATTTTCGGAAACCAAGCGCAGTATCTTTCACCATGCAACACAAAGGGAAATAAAACACTTGTTGCTTTTGTCGGAACGAACAAAATAATGAAAAGAATTAGTCAAAAGATTCATTTCACACAATTGCTCCTTAGCTCTTGCCCTTTCATAGACTATGTGTGAACACTCTCGTCTCATACACTCTTGAGAATGTTGCTGTTGTTTTGAGAATATTGTTCTTCAATGTTGTTTGTTGCGCGCATAAATTGCAAGTGTATTTCTCTTCGGTATAAATCTGTTACTGTCGCATTGTTTTTAATGGTACTTTGCGTGGCCATCTATTTTTTGTGTTGTGTTTTGTTACGTCGTCTGTGCGCATTTACGCAGGAGAGTAAATGAAAATCTTAGACCAGCCAAATGCAGTCAGTTCACTGTCGACGGTGCAAATACATTGTGTGTGTGTGACCCCTTTCAAAGACCAAAGAGTCGAGCTGGATCAGAACGAAAAAAAAATCGTACATAAGCATTTGTGAGTGCTTCGAACAAAAATTCATTGTTGTTGATTTTTTTTTCGTTTTTAAATGTTGTTTCTCTTACACGTTTCGTTATTCCTTCGAATGTTATGTTTTTTTTTTCTCTTCTCTTCTGTCTTTCTTCACTTCGTTCGTCGAACACGGAACACGGTTCTCATTTCATTTATATGAGGTCTCTCTCTCTCTCTCTCTCTCTCTCGCCTTTTCACTCTCTCTCTCATTCGCACACACGCAACGCATTTCTGTTTTCATGACAAGCATTTCATGAAATGACGTACAAAGTTTATGATTTTTCGGGTTTTTTCTACCCATTTTTATTTTTTCGTTGGTCGGTTGTTCAACAACAAAAACACCAAATTAAACAACAAAGAAACAAAAATCCGTGTAACTCATTTCTTTTGTGTGTGCACCGTGAGATTCATCGAAAAAATGCACGGCAATACGCTGATATCGACAGTTTTGTACATTGAAAGTCGATCGACTGACATGTGGAAGATCGCAGCAAATTTACATTTTAATAAGAGAGAGGGAGAGAGAGAGAGAGAGAGACGAAAGGAAAGAAATGAAGATGTGATCAGTTTTCTCTGCGTTTATTGGCATATTCTAGCCAAACGTTATCACGGCACGTAGAAACTGATGTTTTCTGTTTGTTTGCGAAAAACACCACTATGATCACGTTCACATCGTCTAGCTGACAAATGACTCTTTCGATCTCAAATGCATTTTTACGTCTCATATCTTGCTGCTCACGATTTCAAACTATTCAAAATAATAAAAACAATCTCAGTTTTAGCGAGCTGCTCCATTGAAACCAAGAACTACGACTTTTTGAACAAATAAACAAACAAATTTGTGACGAATTTTCAACGTTCCCAATAAATAACATCAAATTGAAACAGCCATATATTTTTTTCTTCAAAATCTTGCCTATCGCTTTAATTGATGCGTTTTTCTGAACATTTTTCATGTGAAAATTGAATAATTTGTGATGTGATTAGAAATCTCACAGTCTCATCTCACAGATCTAATCATCAGCTAGAGAATCCGGTATTGAAACTACTTTAGACTCGTTTATTAATAACTTCGGCGAAAAGCCATAAATTATAGTGTCCAAGGCTCAAGTGTCGCAGACAAACTTCCAGACTGATTGTTCCAGTCTTCGTTTTTATATCATAGAATAGACGTCAAGTTTCGTAAAAATATAGAACCAATAAAGAACAATATTTTTGATGAATTTTGATAATCCTAAAGCAAAAATAAACAATTTTTTTTGTGAAAAATACACAAAAAATCGTAACCTCAAGTATTCGAGTAACGTAAATCACATCAATTATATCGAGTATACCTATTCAAATGAAAAACCTAAGATTTTTAATAAAAAAACCGAGAAAAACAACGACGAATCTGAAAAGTTTAAGTAAATAAACCTTTTGTTTCTCCGTAAATGCAAAATTCATAAAGAAATTATTGCCGGGAAAGTGGAAAATTTACATAAATTAATGAGAGAGTCCAACAATTTCGAAGAGACTGAACACGAAAATCGAATTCTAAATTAGCAGAAAAAAGTGCTCGAAAGTCTCAATTAAAATCATCTATTACATTTGGAAGTGATCATTTTTCAAAAAAATACATTTTACCCAGAACGATTCGATTAATTTAAACTATTTCTTTTGGATTTATCTAGCTCTGTTGATGATGAAGTCGATGGACAGTGCATAGTACGAGCTCGTGGTCTTCCATGGCAGAGCAGCGATCAGGACATAGCGAAATTTTTTCGTGGTTTGAATGTGGCTAAGTAAGTGTTAATTGTTTACATTTCGACTCTATATATAAACATGTCTATTTGTTATTCCATATTGTCTCTCACTCTCTGCTGGGTGCTTCATTTTGCTTTGTTTTTCGTCTAAATCGGGAATTATATTTGATGACGAAATCAAAAGGCAAATAAAAACCTACTTATTCTCATTCTCCTTCTGCACATATTCAATCGCGAAGCGATAGTAAACAACGCATTTGCAAATAGACAGATGGGATGTGCACATATTTAATAACATGCTCTCTCTCTCTCTATCTCTTGCACTCCGTATGATCATTGATCAGTTTATTTTCTGTCAATGTCTCCTGTTCGGTTCGGTTCCATTCCGTTTTGCTGTATGTGATTCTCTCTCTTCCTCGCTCTTCATCTCTCCATCTCTCTCTTTCGTTGATATTTTTCGGTCATAGTTTCTTATCTATTCGAAACGGCACACATGCATGTCGTGTACGCATCGAAAAAATCGATTGAAATGCGCTGAAACAGACGAGAGACGAAAACAAAATGTGCTGTGTTGTCGGTTGTGTTGTATTTGAATTGGTTTGCATGTTTGTAATCCATAGATTTCGATTTTGTGAAGGAACAGCCACAACAACAAACAAACACGAAAATCCGTCAGATTAAAAGGTCAAACTGATAATTGCCAATGTAGAAATGAATTTCTTCAGGCTTCAGACGCAGTGTATGAGTGATATTGAGTGAGTGAGAAGGAGGTGAATGGGAGATATTCGATCTACAAATTCTTTAGATGACACGCGCTGTGACACCGAAAATTTTCACTGGTGGCTCTGCGAGTGTGTGACGCGAAGGAAACGAAAACGAAACCAAACACACATACGAAAAAACGGGAACGGGTCGCTTTAAACACAAAACACCATCGATAACAATCGAAGACTAGAGTGATACAGACTCAGCAATAACACTTCTAATCTCACTTTCAATACGTCTTCCTCGCAAGTCTCATTGAAATTATCCCGTGTGTGCAGCATTTGACAAGCAACAAAAAGGGTGAATCGACGCAAAACATTCGATTCTCTACAGATTACACAGTTTTCGACCTTAGTTTTGTGTGCGTTTGAAGTGCGTTTTAAAATCAGATAATCATAATTCAGTGAAGATCAATGTTATTCAACGAGTAGAACACACATTTTGCTAACGGATGTGCCAATCAAACGATTTAATTTGTGAACATTTCCATTTTATTCGCTCGCTTTGCAAGAAAAATAGTTTGGTATAAATTTAAACACAAGAATCAGCACATTGAAGTTATTCTAATCGAATTGATTGTGCTATAGCAGAGAAGAAAAAAAAGAAAAAAAATTGCTTCCTTGATAATCGATGAATCAAGGAAGAATATAAAGAAAAAAGACAGGCTTAAAAACATTGCCTCTACAATTGTAACATTTTCGAAAATATCGGTGCATTAGCCGTCATTTCAAATCGACTAAAACAATTGGATTCTGTGTGTTGCAGGGGTGGCGTTGCTTTATGTTTGTCACCACAAGGACGTCGCAACGGTGAGGCATTAATTCGTTTTGTGTCTCAAGAGCATCGAGATATGGCACTGAAACGGCACAAACATCACATTGGCAATCGGTATATCGAAGTGTACCGAGCAACGGGAGAAGATTTCATCAATGTGGCCGGCGGTGCATCGAATGAAGCTCAAGCATTGCTGTCTAAGGGTGCACAGGTTATAATCCGTATGCGAGGTTTACCTTATCTATGTACCGCCAAACAAGTCGTAAGTTAATGCAATGTTCAATTTATTTATCTCAATTCGCTTTTCATTCTAGAGTCAAGGCCAGAACTTTTAGCTTGTTAGTTAGAGTTTCGTTTTGAAATTTTCTTTTTTCAATTCAAACTTTCAATGTTTAAGTTTCAATTGAAAAAGGAAATTTGAGGATTAAAAAACTATTACAATTTCGTGGGCTTATCGTCACGAGTCAGAGAAGACTCGCACATTTCCTATGCAAATTCGTGCACGCTCATAGAAATCTGAATACGAGTCGCTGCAAATCGTAGCATATGAACTGTTTAGCAAATTTGAGAGTCAGTATGAGTCGACTGCGGGCAATTGATGTGCCAAAATTATATGTACGAAATTTCAAATATCAATTCATATGAAAGACACGTTAACGTCTCATAAAAGACTCACGAGTCTTCACACATATTCGAAAGATTCGTGCGGCTGCTATATTTTTTTCTACTGATTTGTGAGATTTTTGCTGACTCGCGTGACACATAAGCCCCCAACTCTTTTCGATTCTACTTCTCTAATCGAAACTGTGAATTTTTGATTCCTCTTCTTAACGTGAACTCTCACCAAATCAAACATTTAGACTCCAAAATGCATCTTGATCCGAAACTATATTAATCCATCTATTTCCCCATTTTCTTCCCCCATCAACAGTTGGACTTCTTTGAAACGGGCATTGATCCAGTGCATGTGCTCGATGGCCAGGATGGCATATTGTTTGTGAAAAAGCCGGATGGTCGTGCAACTGGCGATGCATTCGTATTGTTCGCCCATGAATCGGATGCAAAAAAGGCATTATCACGTCATCGTGAATCGATTGGCAATCGCTACATCGAACTATTCCGTTCAACAACTGCCGAAGTTCAACAGGTATGATCTATACTGGGATTTTTTCACACTCATTTACCGTTCAAAATCGGTTCAATTATTATAGAACGATCATAATAAAAAGAAGCGTTCCGTTTGAAAAGAACCAGATTTTGTCCAATTAAAATTTAAAAAAAAGCAGACAGAAAAACACACATACACACAAAATGTGTTCAAACCGCATTCAAAATAATGTAATATAATATATTTTTCTTATTTTGAACAAAAAAAACTTGCTTTCGAATGAACTTTGGATCATATTGAAAACTGGTAAGAGTGAGTGGACTAATAAATGAATAGAATAAAGCCAACCGAAATGACATGATAATGCGATGATCATTTATTATTTCATGTTCTTCACTTTTAAATGCTCATACCATCGCTTGATTTCGTTTTATAGGTGCTGAATCGGTCGATGGACACAAAAACTTATGAAAATAATAATACATCACAACCGCCGCTCATACCGCAACTGCCACCAGCCGTTCAATTCAATTTGCTGCAGCCACAGGTACAAATTCAATTCTTCTTTTTCTGTTGTTTTTTTTCCTCTCATCTCAATTGACTGATTTTGAGTTCTCTCTGCGATTGTTTTGTTTTAACTGACCAATAAAACGATAAAATTGAAACGGTTTTAATGATGTGATTTTCGTTCGTTTTTTTTTTGTTTTTCTCATGTGTCTTTTTACAGCATGTCATAACAAGTGGATCGGCGAAAAACTGCATCCGACTGCGCGGTTTGCCATACACAATCCAGGTCGAAAATATTCTGAACTTCTTGGAGGATTTCTCGAAGCATATCATTTTCCAAGGAGTGCACATGGTGTACAATGCTCAGGTAAGTGCTTTGAATTGAACCTTTTTTCGTTGGCAATTTTGTCTTTGTATGGCTTTTCCAATCAACGGGATGACAAAGAATACCGATTTGCATTCGTGAAGTTTCCGTTGAAATTCGCCAGTTTGAATCGAAGCAATTGCCTTTTAATTGACGAATCACCATTGTAATTTGTAAGAAATGATAACCAAAGAAATATCATGAAAAATAACATCAAACCAAAACGAAACCATTCTCCAAAACATAAAATAAAGGGCCAACCAAGCGGTGAAGCATTCATTCAAATGGACTCGGAAGAGGCGGCATACGCATCAGCTAAAGAAAAGCACAATAAGTACATGGTTTTGCCGGGTAAAAATCAAAAATTCCGCTACATCGAAGTATTTCAGGTATGGACATCACTTTCTTTCTCCTCACTCTTTGCGTTCCATAGTTTAAGTGAAGTTAGTCTTACATGCCATAGAATGATTCATTGCTAATCGTATTATCTAGAAGAAAACAAAAAAAAAATCGATTGCAAAATATCGATGAAATTTCATCCACGGAAAAAACCACAATGACCGACACGGACCGTATATCTCTTTCTATCTTTCTCTATCTTTTTTCTTACAGTGTTCGGGTGATGATATGAATCTGGTGCTGAACGGAGGTGTATCACCGAATCAACAGCGAAAATCGCCGTTACTCTCACACGGTATGTTACAAGCTCAGCAACAACAGCCACAACATACAGTTACTACAGAGAAACCGATAATGTCCAATCAATATTTGCCCGCAAATATTGCGGCAAAACCTCTATTAGCAAGCCCACCTCCGTATCAATTATCCAATCAGTTGTCGATGAACGCGAACGCGGCTTTGTTTGCTCAGCAACAAGCTCAAGCCCATTTGATTGCGCAACAAAATCTGTTGGCCCATCAGCAGCAGGCATCGGCTGTGGCCGCGGCTGGTGTCAGCCATATGCCAGGTTTCACATTAATTCCACAATCGGCCGCCAATGCAATGCATGGCACAACCAGTTTGGCTGTCGCTCAACCTCAATTGATGGCCCAGCCACAACAGTTGGCCCAGCATCATCATGTACAAAATTTAGCCTCATTAACACAGCAGCATTCGGCGCTACCGCCGAATTTAATGTCAAATCTCATGACACGAACGGCTGCTTATCAAATGGCAACGGGCATGCAGGCATCATCTGCCTCCCTAACGCAAACCCATGGCATTTCGCAATCCATTCCATACACTCTATCGCCAGCCGGTTTGCAATTCGCCACATTCCATAGTTCAATGAGCCCGTACACAAATCCAATGCTTCTATCACCGCACTCATTAGCTTCGCTGCAATTGAAAACGCCACAAACTCAAACACCTCAGGCGCGCACATTTGGCACTCCCACATATACGCACACGTTGCAACAGCATCATCATCATCATCATCATCATCAGCAACAGCAGCAGCAACAACAGGCCGCTGCCCTTCAGCAAATGGGACAAATTCCCACTCAAATGACCAATTTTCAACAGCAATTGTCAATGAATGCAAATGCAGCCGCTGCCACATCGCTGATGCACAGCATTAAGCGAAGCTATGAAAGTGCATTCCATCAAGATCCGTCCAGTACGTTGCATCATCAAAAAAGACCCACTCAATTCACGGGCACGGGCATTTTGTAAATGATGATTGCGATTTATTTTCTTCAATTTCCCAAGAAAGAAAAAAAAACAAAGCAAATGATGTAGATTTTCATTTTGACAAGACCTCGTGATTTTCTGAGGCAATTACTTCCACCTTTTCTCTCTTCCTTAATTTAAGCAACAATTTTGTATAATATGAATTTAATTCAAATGACCTAATGAAACAAATGACAATGTGCAATCCGAATAATATGAACTAATAAAGTCCATTATCAAAATGGATTGGAAATTGAGAGTCGAGATTTGAAACGAATTCTCAAAAATGGTGCGAGCAAAATTGAGCAAACAAAACCGTCGACACGGCCTTCGATTTAGAAACAAACAAGACTAATTTCGTTTCATATTAATATTTTTTTTGTGTTTTCTTGACGGGACTTAAATTTAATGAGAATTTCAAGCGAATTTTTTTTTTAAATGTACTAATCTAGCGCACATACATACACATACACACTCTGTCTCTCTTTCTATGTACGGAAAATGACACAAGAACTCTGTTGATTCATCAACTAAATAATATTTTTTTTTTTATATTCATGAACATATTAAATAAAACACGTTTATTTAGAGTTTAAAAACGGAAAAATGAAAAAAAAAATCAACAATTTAATTAAACTTACCATTGGTTATAATGATTTTTTTAATCTATAAATAATTTGAAACACACATACACACATCATTCATTTAATCGGAATGAACTGATATTGAAATAAGAGAGCCTTGAACATATATTAACGTGTAGCTAAAAGGAAAAAAAAGCAAACAAAATTTCGGAAGAGTTAACATAATGACTAGAGAATACATAGAGAAAATTTGGCAAATAAAATCTGTGAAAAAAAATGAACAACACGCACATTAATCAAACGAACAAGGATAAATAAGAAATAGAGATTTAAATGGCTCATTTATTTGTTTTAGATTTTTCTTTATTTTTTTTTCATTTTTGACCCAATTAAAAAAAAAAAACAAATCATACAATTCGCATCAAGGGTTTGGCATTTTTCTTTTGGATGGCAATATATACATAGAGAAAATGCCAGACATTTGACGCTAATGACACACGTTCACATATATTCACAACCCCTCCGCATTATAAATATAAAATTAATAATAATTTTTAAGCTGGTTTTAACTTAAGGGAATTTTTTTCGAAATAATATTTTAGCATTTTTTTAAAAACAATTTATGGCAATTTCGAGAGAGAAATAACTATATATAAAGAAGGTTGACAGGGGACACCCTTCAAATGTGCACGCACAAATTAGTTAATTTTTTTTCATTACTATTTCTCCCCTTTATTTTCTATTTTGGAATTTTATCAATTTAAACAACAAAAACACTACACTAATTAAGTTTAGCCAATTAATAGCTATTGGAAAAATTGCATTGACAATTTTTTTTTTGTTTTTTTTTTATATTCATGTTTTATATGCTTCGGTGTCATCTCTTAGTTAATTTTTCTTGGTTTATTCTATTTCTCTCTGTATGTGTTTTGGGGGTGAGCATTTCCACAGCAAAAAAAAACCGTGCTTGTAGATGAATTTTTTTAAAATATATTTTGATTTCTATGGATTAATTCTAATATGCTATATATTCTCAAAACGAACAAAACTCATTTCAATTACGTAGATTCATTCGCTTCATATTGAACTTCTTTTTGTTCTTAATTTGCTTTATTTCACCGTATTATTGTTTTACGTGCATTCTTTCTTCTGTTGTTTTTATTCTTATTTTCAATATAAGAAATGTGGAACTTTTTTTTTATTGAGTGTTTATTATTGTGTTAACAAAAGATACAGGCAAACTATAGTAACGATATTTCATTCCATTTTCAATTGAGCACTTGAATGAAAGTGATTTTATCATTCCAGATTATTTTGATTCCAAGCTAATGCTACCTTCTACCTTAATTTATCATTCCAAGATGTATATTTTTTACTGGATAAAATATTCGAAATTCAACAATTGATCAAAACTCCACTCTTGATTACTTATTGCGAATTTCCATTAGAATTTAGGGGAAGAATCAGTTTTCGTTCACATTCAAAAGCGAATACAAAATTCCAACGAGAATTTTTAGCGAATTTATTTTAAAGAATTTGGAATGAATTTTGCGAGACGAAATTCGGATATTTTTCCATTCCAATCGGGGTTTTTGTGTGTTCTTATTTTGTTCTGAGACCGAAAAAAAGGCAATTTCAAAACAAATCAAAAAGAATCGACTTCGTTAAAAAAAATGGAATTTATTTAAACAGAATGAGTTCAACGTAGAAAAAGAGTGAAGAATTTTATTTAACATTTTCTATATACACACGAAGAAAGAAAAATTTATTTTCGGAACAAAGTTGATAATTAGCAGAGTTGACTGACATATAACAACGTAGCATAAGAACATGTGAAAACAAAAACGAAAAAAAAACAGAATATTGAAACACAATTTTCCAATAGGTGACACCGCATATAGACACGTACATTTATACATACCCTTGAAGGAGAAAAAAAACTATGCATTTTTGCGGTGTTGTAATTAATTTGATGTGTGATTCGAAATCGCATGGAATTTTTTTTTAAATAAGCAATAAGGTATATATGCGGAAGAAAAGACATAAAAACAGAGCAAGCTATATTAGGAAATTTATTTATTTTTAGCCAATTTTTTTGTTTTTAACTTACACAAAACACACACGCACATGAAAATGAATGGATATGGGATGAAAATGCAGCGCTGGTGCACGGTTAAGCTTTATATAAGCTTTGGTTTTGATTGGGCCTGTAGCCATTTCTGTTTGTTCATTTATTAACCGGAATATAGAGAGATTAAATACAAAATAGTAATACAGAAAAAATGCGAAGCAAAAAGAAAGCAACCAGCTTAATTTGAATATATTCATTGTAGTAGTGCAAAACAAAAAAACATGCAGCGTAACATTAACCGTAACATTCATTTTCTGTGTTGTATCATTTGAAGCATTCGTTGGACTATTTCCATTGTTTGGGTGCGTTTAATAAAAAAGACAAATAGTTTTTTTGTGAGATCATTTCTTAAGAATATTTTTCCCCCCCGTTTTTTAATTGCATTTTCTCATTTATCAACATCTTATTTTACCATATATTGTCTCATATTGGAAATTTTGCGTGGTACGCGGGCTATTTTGTTGTATTTTTTTTTAAACAAAATTTTTATTTGGTTCTTCATTATTTTTGTTTTCATCACACGTTGACAAATTCGGAATATCGCATCTCTTTTTTTTTAATATATATTGTCTATCTGGTGTAACTGTAAGTCTTTTTTATATGATTGTTTGTGCTAGTGAGTCTTCTTCATGTGTGGATTTTTTTCGCTAAATTATTTTTTATCCTTTGTTGTTGACCAAAACGCAAAAAAAACATCTCGAAAATAATTCAATTTAAACAGAAGTAACACACAGTTTAACTGAGCAATTCGAGCAATATACGCCGAGCAGGGGGCAAAAAAACCATTGCAATACATTTTGGTGTTTGGGACCGTTGGTGATGTAACAATGTAATCTCTTCTTTTCTATATATATTTTTATACCATGCAGAGTGTCTGACATAGTGTTTAGCGATGATGCGGTGAAATACTACCCCCCTCCTCCCCCTAAAAAAAACCAGAGCGCAAATTTCACACACGAATACGCACACACAATTCTATTGCTTTGCTTAACACTATGCTCATGGCACACTGTACCAATTTAAAATTATATATAAAACCAAAAACAAAACAAAAACCTTATAAAAACATATATATGCAACATGGTGAGTGTTTTATTTATTTTGTTTAATTTTTCTTCTATTAAATACGTATCTCCTTCCTATTCTGACCAACAACAACAAGAACAAAGTGAAAAAAAAAACTCAAACCTATTGAGACACATACACATTTTTTTTTTTTTTGGAAATGGTTACGGTTATTGATGATTTGGCATTTGGTTTGGCGCATTTTTTGTTTGTTTTTGCAAATCGAAATGGGGAAAATGACTAACACAAAGCATAGATTTGAGAATGAGTGGAAAAACCAATGGGGCAACATAAAGAGTTTTCTGTTGTCTTTGAATTGTGTGATTTGAATGAATATTCTTTTGATTTTTTATCGATCGGAAAAGTAGTTCTACTACTCTTTCTTTGAAGAAAATTGAATTCCATTGAACAAATTCAAAGAGCATCCAATTTTCGCAAAAAAATTAATTTGAATTTAGAATAGTTATTTCAATGTTCATTTTTCCCATTGAAAAATTGAAATAGAATGCCAAATCACGATATAAATCCATTTCCATGATGGAACACAACCAATTAAAATTTACAACAAAAAAAGGAACGATCAAAACCAATTTCTCTCTCTTACACAAAATCAACAAAATAAATAAATTGACAAGTCATTGGGTGAATTTGGAATCGGTGAATTTGATATTTATATCGCATACACATATTATCACGGAATCAATCGTATATATATTTTTTATTTTTCAAATTTCAAACAACGCTATTATGGGAGTTTAGATCTATATATATTTGGTTATAAACATTAAAAACAACAATGTTGCTAATGATTTAAATATCGCCAAAATAACTAAATATTTTTGTTATATCTTTTCGCTGTTAGTAGAACGTAGAATCAATATTTATTGTCCTATTTTATATGTCACATTTACGAAAAAAAACAAACCGAGTCAACTATGAGCGACTGTTTATGGCGTAGCTGAGTACCATAGTTAATCATTCTTGTTTTTATTTTCATTATTATTTCTCTTCACTATAATTTTCTTTTTGGAAAATCGTCTTGTTGTTGTTTATTGGTGATGATGGCTTTTGGAACAAAAACAAAAACATTTATTATTATTTTTTGTAAACGTTTGTCTTGTGGATATTTCTGAGGTCTTCGCTTAAAAACCAATTTTTGTGCTAAAAACAAATGACACCTTTATTCCTCAGGGCAAAACCAATTTAAATACACACAAAAATACACTAACAGCGGTTTTTTGATCGGCTTCGCTCATAACTTCACACGCTTTTTTTAGATTTCCAATTGAAATTCTCTCTAGTTTCTCACCAAGAGATAAAGATAGGGATCAATATGTTTTTATCTAGGATTATCATGTCCATATACTAGGGATCATTTTGAAAACATAATTTGCTGATTTCGTCTCGTTTTAGCCATGTTCAGTAGAGTAAAAATAGACGATTTTGAACGAAAATTTAGGCATTCAATGGAAATTCAGGCTTTTGGACAAAATTTAGTGAAATTTAGATAAATCGGCAATCTTTGGCGATTATTCTTCAGTCAGACGGTTAGGGACAGAATGTTTTAGAAAATTAGATGCGAATTGTTATTATTTTATCTCAAAATTCTCTAAGATATTAAGATTTGTTTGAAACAATTTTTATTTTTCATATTATTCTATTTAATTTTTGGAATTTAAAGAAAAAAGAATCTTGACTAAAAATATACTTTTTCTACATTTATGTTCGAAACTGAATTTAGGTGGTACGCCAATGATAGCGCCTGCATTTGGAACGTATCCATTTGATCCGCGAACGGCGTTTATATCGAGTCGAGCTCCATACCCAGCGCCTGCCTTGTATCCACCGCCAATATTGTATTGGAGTTATCCATCGCCACCCGTTTCACCAACCACATACTTTGCTCATCAGCCGGCCGCTCATCCGCACGGACTCATGGACTGGAATCCGGGCATGATGGAATCATGGAACACATCATTTTAAATCGGACTGTTTCATCAACAGTAGAATTTCAGATGCAATCACAACACCAAAATAGATTTAAAAAAAAATTACTTTTAAATATTCTGAAGGAAAAAATGTACCCAGCAAACAATTTCTATAGAAATGCGTTTTCATTTTGTAAGAATGATTACACTAAACTCATGGCTAGAAATTGTCTATAAATGCACCGCAAGAGCATAAATTGACAAGAATCATTTTTATAGAACGAAACCTTTTATTGAAAGTTAACGAAAAATGCAAGAATTTTTTCTTCTGTTGGAAATTCGTTAACGGAAAAATTCGTTAGCGGCAAAAAGAAAATTGTAATGGAAATCGATCGGTTTGGTCGATTTTCCGAAATTGTTATGCATGTATTTGTCTCGATGAGCTTCTTTTTTATTATTTAGTATTAATTTCGTTAATTAAGTAGCAAACAACCATATCATCGACGAGCCGACAACGGCGTGTTATTTTAGTCTTTAAGCATTTTAAACCAAATGTGAGTTACCAGATAACAAACAAAACGAAACCGCTGAGCCGGATTCATGCAACGAAATCACAATTTGCCAATTTGCTACCGCAATCTGGCCGAAAGGAATAACACACAAAAAATAGAGGAAACCAACATGCTCAAATTTTTTTTCATTATCAAATCGCACACTTCCTCTGCTAATACCAAATTATATTATTGTCACAACAAAAATCGAACGAGATTCGAAATCGTATGTTTTATCTTTAAAAAAAAGGCAAACCATGCCTCTTTTCAAAGCACACACACACCATTTAGGAAATGAGTCGAATAGATTTGACAACGTTGTCAAACATTTCATGCATTAAGATCTTTTTTATATAGAAATTGAGAATATTTATTGTTTATGTGCTAAAATTATTAATGTATTAGATACAAAGCAATTTTTTTTTAAAATAGAAACAACAATTGCAATATGTGTTGTCTTTTATAACAGAGAAGAAAAATCGTTGATTTCTTAGACAACCGAATACAACACACACACACACACACACACATACACATAGAGAGAGCAAGTCAAATGTCGCTTTTACGGTGCTCTCATTTTTTTAAAAATTTACTTGTTTCTCGATTAGATAAATTTTTTTATGCAGTTAACATCAATACTTGCCACCAATTTTGCTTCTTGCTTCTACGAGCCAAACAGCCCACAAATGACATATCCTTTTTTTGTTACATAAATCTATTTTGATAAAAACAAAATTTACGTTTGCAAAACAAAATTTACGCACACACACACAATTTTAGTTTGTATTTTTCGAGCTCAATTGATATTGTTTCCATTTTTTTATGCTTGAAAAGAATGATCAAATCGGATTTTTTAGGAAAAGAATAGGAAAACGTCGTCTTGGGTTTCAATTATTAGCACAAGTCTAAGACGAAACGATATTTTTTGAAGCAAACAACCAATTGAAAAGATATGATTGGAAATGTGAATTGCATTCAATGCATTTCCTATTCTCCTCGTTCATTTTGGAGAGAAGAATTTTTATTTCGAGTGAAAAATGAATTTATTTGTGGAAAATTGATTTGAACTGAATTTTAGACGAATTGAATCCAATTGAAAATGATGAAAGAAATTAGAGAAACAGATCAAAATCAAGACATTCGAGAATATGGAATGAAAAATTGTAGAAAGTGAAAGAAAGATATAGAGGATGATAGGAAGAGAGAGAGAAAGAAAAAAATATTGCAATGTCAGAAGTTTGTATGAAGAAAATACTTTGAACGGCAATTATGCAGTACGATTTACGGTGCCAAACATGCAAAAAGGTTCTAACCAGCTCATATTTAAAATGCAAGTTACCTTCTATTAAAAAAAAAAGAAAGAAAATAAAGAACCTCACATCAGCCAATACTTTCCTATATGCTCTTTGAAAACTTGTGGCCACCTCTTGCCCCAACCGCCACATGTGCCACTCAATATCAGTGCGCATTGGATATGGTGTGATGTGCAAAGAGCATTTCGCATTTGTGATAGACTCGTATGTTGAAAAAGCGACATGCCAAAACCATTATAGGAAAAAAATATGATGCAACACAAAATACACAAGACAAACAACAAAATCAAGTCACAGCGATCAATTTTAGAGAAACAAAAAGGAAATAAATTAATTACTTATTTACTATTTATTTTTAATTTCTATTACGATGAGTGAAAACATAGGAAATCACAATTTATGTTATTATTATTTCTTTTCTTTTTTTAAATTTATATGTGTCTTCCAGACGATTTTGAAATTATTCCGAAGATTTGCTCAGCCAGAAAAAAAAAAAAAAAAAATTAAATAAATGAAGCGATAAAGAATTTGAAACTTCGACAGAAAATCTTTACATTTCTATAAACAACGATCATCGTTATTCGATTAAATGTCATAGATTTCATCAGAGAAATTTTTATGCAATATTTCTGAAATAAAATGCTCTTTAAAATAACATTTCATGTTTTTGGCTTAGTTCTTTGTTTTTTCTTCACCCCTTTTTGGTGGCTCTATGAGTTTTCGATTTTGTTATTTTTCTCTCTCCTAATTATTGGTAAGTACACGACTTTCTTATTTACTAAAATACGATGAGTGAACATGTTCATCGTTTCCGAAATTCGAATAATCATCACTGTGTGTAGACTGTGTGGCCCTATTTCAGCAGTCTAGAATCACACCAAATTGTTTGGCTTTGTTTTGGATGAATTTTCCGTGGGTCGAATTTAACGAACGCAACATTTGAATGTACTGCTTCAGCAGCGCTGGATCCAGCTTACGAAATGTTGCCACCGATGTACCTTTCACAATGTTGTTGGTTGCATCGCGTAAACTCGCCAAATCACCATTGATTTGATGTTCAAGAATTCGATTGATGGCACTCGCAGCGACCAATGCATCGCTGAGCAACAAATGTTTGAACTCATCGATTTGGTCATTGAGTCGATCATTTTGTGGATCAATCATTAGCTCCCATACGATTTCGAAGCGTTCCTCTGAATTCAGCGAATCATCGAGTTCCAGCAACAGTTGATCGATGCATGTACTATACTCCATGCCACTGATGAGAAAACCGCCGAGAATCTCCTTCATATAGGACGGTGCTGCTGGTCGTGTGCTCACCACTGAGATCAGTCGACGCAACGATTCACGATGCGTCTGCCATTCACGACCATAAAACTTGCAGAACAGCGCAAAGAATTTCTCCATTAAAACTTCGTGTTGCAAGAGAATTTCATTTTGCACTTCTTCGATTTCACGACGTGATGCGGACCGTAGCCGACCTTCGACAATTTGTGTCTCCGGCAATTCGTGCGGAAAATCACAATACGTACCATAGCACGCGTCACGCAAATATTTCAGACAAATTTCACCGAAAATGCGATTCGACGGCCACGCCTCGCCATTTGCATCACAATTTGCCGATTCAACATCCTCCGTCTGGTCCAATTGCTCGGCAATGTTATTCAAAAATCGCATGTCATCATCGCTGTCATCACTGTACAATAAAAATAAAAAAAGAGAGAAATTGGTTCGTTAATGTTTATATGATGTGTCTTTTCTTGAGCAAAATAGTTGGAAATTGAGTAATCTATATATATAAAACTGAATGTTCGTCTGTGTGTGTGTGTGTGTGTGTGTATGTAGCCAGTTATCTCTCCTTTTTTTGATTCATGGTTCTGGCCGTTTGATTTCGCGCGGCCTCCAATGGTTCTTATAAATGCCGTTTTGATTTTCGAATTGAATTTTCTGGAGTTTGACGAAAAAAAAAAATTTCATTGTTTTTCCATACAATGTACATTAATGTGGATAATCGATATTGGTATCAAATGAAATGGTTTGGAACGGAGATGAACATGGTCACCATCTCGGATAGTGATAACGAAAATGTTAATTAATCGCACTAATAATATTCAAATCACAATAAGAAAAAATAAAGAAGAGGTTGGATCAAAACAAAAGAATCATTGTTTGGGAACAAATTCTAGCCGAAACGGCGAGCAAAGCGAACCGATTCGGCTAGTTTATTCATAAATTTGGATTTTGATTCACTTAAAAACAAGTCTGAACAGGTTTCGTAGCAAAATTTATTGTCCAAACGTAAGATTTTAGCGAAAAATTATGAAGAATATTGAGAGAATTTGCAGAAAAGCTGGATAATTTGGAAAAAGGTGCAAAGAAGCGATCAAACTTCAACATTCAAAATGAAAAAAAGCGAAAAACTCCGAAAAAAACAGATCAAAATGATCCAAAATAGATGTCCCACTCACCAATTTGACGATGAATCGGGTGAATGTTCCAAATCCATGCCGTTTGTCTGCTTAAAATCTTCGCTGTATTCGTCGTTGTTGAATCCGGAATCCTGTTCGGTTTGTGTGTCTTCACCGTTCCATACTACAGAGTTGTATGCCTCTTCAACTGAAAAATCAACACGGTTTCGTTCGATTATTGTTTTTTTGTTTTGAGGATTAACTGTAAATCACAACAATCTCCGAGTGACACCGAAAGTAGCGAATCCGAATCGTATGTCTGTATGACTACAGCTCGTACGAAACATTCACACACAAACGGTATCTTCGAGTGATGCGTCTGACACTGCATTCAGATGTTTTTCTTTTTTCTTCTCTTCAAACAATCGACATAAAAATAAAATACAATTTTATGACTGTATTTCTTACCATCAGTGTCCAAATCGAGAGTGACTGGATAAGCCACTACTTTGCCTTTGACAACACAATAACCATCAATCGGAGCATCATTATCATCATCGTCACTGATATTGGATTCACTGTCGCTCGACGATTCGAAGGAGCTATATTTTGACGTGATCGATGTCAACACATCATTGATACGTGAATGTTCCGGTACCTATTGAAAATGAAAATTCATTTTAAAAAAATCCATTTTGATGCTGTTCGGTAATGAAATTTTTTCCTATTTTAAACTTAAGAAAAATCGCTTACCATCGATGCTTTCGAATAACAATGGTCTTCATGCTCATACACCGGCTGTGTTTGTTGTTGTCTGATCACTGGTTTGCTCCGTATGGAAATAGATTCACCGCGCAATGCTCTTGCAATTTGGGCGGATGACAACCGTTCGAGTCTGACTGTGCATTTCAGAATGTCTTTTAAAACTACTTTGCAGTGTCTAAACCGAATTTTATTTTTTCCCCTAAAAATTGGACTCGGTTTTAGACCGATTGTCTTCGGCGAATGTTGTATGTTTACCATACTGAATGTGACTGTGAATGCTTAAGCTCGAATCGACACCAACAACACTCAATTTAACTGAATGTTGAGCATTGCCGGCTGTGTTTGCATTGACAAGCGTGTCATCAATCGTACCGCTTTGTCAACATATTGCATCGCTTACGAAATATTCAACATTGTGCATAACCTCATTCCATTTCAAACTGGAGCGCCAATGTTTTGGTTATCCGTAGCTGTCATTTGTCCCGTTTGACAGCACATTTCTAATTAGCAGTGCTGTCATCACGCACACATTCACTCGCATACATTCACAAGCACACGCGTGTGAATCATCATTTTTCTCTACAGATACGAAACGGGATTCTGTGCATGTGTATGCGTGTGACTTTTGTGACACACAATTGTGCCGACGTATTTCAAAACCACATGTATTCACCAACAGAAAATAAAAACTTCTCTACTAATATTTTATTCCGAAAGTGTGTTTCACCTTTCATTTCTCAAGCATAGCCAGCAGCACACAGCAACCAACCACGCTGAATACCGTGTGTATATGCCCGACGACGTTTTCAATGTAGTGTAATCGTTGGTAAAAGTTACACTATTCTTCTATTTCACGATTTCATAGTCGAATTACATCTCGTGGCAATAAATTTAGTTTGTTCTTCAAGTGAAAGGTAATCATTAGCTTTTGTGACTAGTTTATTTGGTATTTCAAACAGTTTTCTGTTTAGTTTAGAGTGTCAGACAATTGAAAATTGTGAAATTGTTATCATTGAAAAAAAATTTCTCATTCACATTTTATTCTAGACAGTTGCAAGCAACTACCAAAAACGCAATCATGTCAGAAGTTGGACAAGGTGATGCTGCAACCGGAAACACTGAGGCGCCCGTTAAAACAGCCAAACAATTGGAGAAAGAAGCGAAAAAAGCGGAAAAATTAGCCAAACTACAGGAAAAACAAAAGAAATTGGCCGAGAAAAAAGCAACCGAACCTGCAGAAAAAGAGGTTAGTTTGTGTCGTGATCGGAAAATGAGTTTTTTTTGTGATGAATGTGTTGTTCCATTCGATTTCATTGATCATGATTCATTTTCTTTGCTTGAATAGAACAAGAAGGCAAAGACGAAAGAAGTGAAAGAATCCGCTGTCTACACGGTTGATACACCTGCTGGCGAAAAGAAAGATATATTGGGTGCATTGCCAGACGCTTACAGTCCAAAATATGTCGAAGCTGCCTGGTATTCATGGTGGGAGAAACAAGGCTTTTTCAAGCCAGACTATGAAGTGAGTGTTTTGAATCAATTCCATTTGTATTGCATTTTGCAGCATTTGTTGTGAATGTCAAAAAAAATTGTGAATATTTTCAAAGTTTATTTTAAATTTGTTCAGTAGATTTTGTTTGCTTCGAGAAAAAAAATGTATGGAAAGAGAGTGGCTCATTTTGAGTTTAATGAAACAGTTTTAAAATTATTGTTCGAATAATTTTCTTTCAATTTGATTTAGATTTAAATTTATTTGTTCAATGAGAAATCAACGCTAATCAAAACTCTTTCTCTATCCCCCAAAAAGCGCCCCGTTACTGAGGAGAATCCAAACGGTAAATTTGTGATGGTGATTCCGCCGCCAAATGTGACTGGTTCACTGCATTTGGGCCATGCCATCACAGTGGCAATTGAAGATGCCATAACGCGTTGGCACCGAATGAACGGAAAAACTGTTTTGTGGGTACCTGGTTGCGATCATGCCGGCATTGCTACACAAGTTGTTGTCGAACGGAAATTGTGGCGTGAAGAGAAGAAAACACGCCATGACTTGGGCCGAGAGAAGTTCTTGGAAAGGACATGGGAATGGCGTAATGAAAAAGGTGGTCGAATTTACGATCAATTCCGTCGAATGGGTGTATCCGTGGACTGGTCACGATGCTACTTCACAATGGATGATAATATGTCACGCGCTGTAATCGAAGCATTTGTCCGAATGCACGAAGATGGAACGATCTATCGAAGCTCACGACTTGTGAACTGGTCGTGCACATTGCGTTCGGCCATTTCGGATATTGAGGTGGATAAAGTGGAGATTCCCGGCCGTACATTCCTTTCGATTCCGGGCTACGATGAAAAGGTTGAATTCGGTGTGTTGGTTTCATTCGCCTACAAGGTCGAGGATAGTGATGAGGAAATTATTGTGGCAACCACTCGTGTTGAGACAATGCTCGGTGATACAGCCGTCGCTGTACATCCAAATGACAAACGGTATGCTCATTTGCACGGCAAATACTGTGTGCATCCGTTTACATCACGACGCTTGCCAATCGTCACCGATGACTTTGTTGAAACGGAATTCGGTACTGGTGCCGTGAAAATTACACCAGCCCATGATCCAAACGATTACGAAGTGGGCAAACGTCATAATCTACCGTTCATCACAATCTTTAACGATGATGGTGTCATCATCGGTGATTACGGCCAATTCACTGGAATGAAGCGATTCCAGTGCCGTAAGGAGATTTTGGTTGCTTTGAAAGAGAAGGGCTTGTACAAGGAGACAATCAACAATCCAATGGTTGTACCGATTTGCAGCCGATCGAAGGACGTTGTTGAACCAATTATCAAACCACAATGGTATGTCAAGTGCGATGATATGGCTGCCAAGGCTACGGAAGCCGTAAAATCGGGCGAATTGAAACTCATTCCAGAAATGCACAACAAAACCTGGTTCCATTGGATGGATGGTATCCGTGATTGGTGCATCTCACGACAACTTTGGTGGGGACATCGCATTCCTGCTTATCGTGTCACATTCAGCGATGCCAAGTTGCAAGCCGAAAATCCAGACGTTTGGGTGGTTGGGCGCACGGAAGAAGAGGCACGCCAGAATGCGGGCAAGAAATTCAATTTACCCGTGACTCAATTTACGTTGGCACAAGACGAAGACGTTTTGGACACATGGTTTAGTTCGGCACTTGTCACATTCGCTACATACGGATGGCCCGACAAAACACCCGATTTGGAAGCATTCTATCCAGGCAATCTACTTGAAACCGGACACGATATTCTCTTCTTCTGGGTGGCTCGCATGGTGTTCTTCGGACAAAAACTCATGGGCAAATTACCATTTACGTAAGTTGGCTTTGAGTGACCTTTTCCTCTTTTTTTTCATATGATATTTTTTGCTATTTTAAAAACAATTTCTTTCTTTTCCACACCCACAGAGAAGTATTCATGCATCCCATCATTCGTGATGCACATGGCCGTAAGATGTCAAAATCATTGGGCAATGTAATCGATCCAATGGACGTCATCACTGGCATTTCACTGGAACAGCTGAACCAGTCACTCTATAGCTCCAATTTGGATCCAAAGGAAATCACCAAAGCAATCGCTGGACAAAAACAAGATTATCCCAATGGAATACCCGAATGCGGTTCAGACGCTATGCGATTCGCACTTTGCTCGTATAATTTGCAAACTCGCGACATCAACCTCGATATTATGAGAGTGCAAGGTTATCGATTCTTTTGCAACAAACTATGGAATGCCATCAAATTCGCTCTCATGTACTTCGATGGCACTACGAAATACAAGTCAACCGTTGAATTGGTGAGTTTTTTCCCTCAATTGTTTTTCTCTCCTTTTTTAATTTCTTTATCACTTCAAAGCAAACGAAGGAGATGTTCTTTTCGACTTTTTTATTTTTCTTTCGAATTTTGCCATTTTTGCTTATCTCTGTTATTTATGTATTTTTCGCATAGAAAGCAATATTCTTATTATTCTTTTCTGTTGCAATTCTTTTACCTTTTCTAGGCTCTGTTTCCCACTTTATTTGCATTTTCTTTAATAAATCCAATTTTTTTTTCATTTTCTCTTCACAGACAAGCAACGAAAGCAATATGGATTTATGGATATTATCGAGACTAGCAAACACCGTCGAAGCATCAAACACTGGATTCAGCTCGTATGAATTCTACAATTCGTCAGCCGCTATGTACAGCTTCTGGTTGTACGATTTGTGTGACGTGTATTTGGTATGTATTGCGTCGTCTTTTATTCTAACTTTTAACTTCGAAAGTGTATTCAAATACACTCCAAACGGCTGATCAAAAAACAGCCTCATACTAATCATACTATTTGCTTATCCATTGCAGGAATGTTTGAAGCCGGTGTTCTTCAATGGAACCGATGCTGAAAAGGCAGCGGCCCATCAAACCCTGTTCACATGTTTGGATGTTGGTTTGCGTTTGATTTCACCATTTATGCCGTTCATCAGTGAGGAGCTGTATCAGCGTTTGCCACGCAAAGAGGGTGGTCCAGTGAGCATTTGCATTGCTCCGTATCCAGTAATAGAAACATGCCCATGGAAGAATGAAGAGATCGAAAAAGAGGTGGAATTGGTGCAAAAAACGGCTCGAATCATTCGTTCCGCTCGAAGCACATACAATCTGCCAAACAAAACGAAAACCGAAGCATACATTATCTCGACATGTGCAACAACGAAGGGCATTCTGCAGAAATTCACCAACGATCTGCTGACCACCGCCTATTGTTCGAAATTGCATTTTGATGAACAACCACCAACCGGTTGCGCAATTTTACCGATTACCGGCCAATTGGAGGCGCATTTACTGCTGAAGGGTTTGATTGAAGCCGACAAAGAGTTACAAAAATTGGAGAAGAAACAAACGCAACTAACACAAGCGATTAGTAAATTGAATCAAGCAATGAACGCCAACGATTACACCATCAAAGTTCCAGAGGAGGTGCAACAAAAAAACAAAGACACACTAGCTGAAAATGAGGCCGAAATCACACGTATCAACGCCGCCATCGAATCACTCAAATTAATGTAAAGTCTTGCAATGTCGATGCAAACCAATTATTTATTTCAACTCAAATTGTATACGATTCAATTGGCCAAAATGGTTTCGATACAGAAGTTTTTTTGTTACCTCTTTTTCTCATATCTCTTTTTTTTAATTTTGAATAAATGTTGCAAACATTTTTTTGTTGCTAACAATAGCAAATGGAATGAATGGTTGTTTGTTTTGATTTTTGAACGAGTTAAACCCTGAGCTATCCGAAGACAATGGAAAAATCTTGTGTAGAATTTGTTCTTTCTTTCTGATGACGTTTTCTATGTTAGAATTTCTGACGAAAAACTCTACGAATCGCCGCGCAAATCGAGCATGACATTCGATGAGATTTTTCATTGTTAATAACGAATAATAAACGTATAAAATTGCTCAACAGTTCCAGACAAAATCTTACAACAACAATGCATTTTCAGTTGAAAAAACGCCTAAAAATATACTACTCAAATTACACTCCAGTTGGGTGCATTTCACTGTATATCGGGTACCTGCTATCTTCTCTACCCTTGTCTTTAGCCATCTTCTTGTCATTGCTAACATATGCTCCTAATTGCTTATCCATTGGACAGAGGAAGGAACATACGATAGAGAATAGCAAATATTTGTCCCGTTGCACGATCATAAAGTTGTCACAGCAAACAGACAGGAAGAAATTGGCCACAGGCGTGAATTTTTTTTATCATGACGAAAGAAACTTTCAGAGTAGTAAATTTAACAGATTTATTACTTTGCTGTACGTAATTTATGTCCAACTCCACATGAAATTGTTATATGAACTGGGACGAAGATTATGACTACTCTCTTCAAATTATTGCATGCGCATGCTGGGGAATTTTTTTTGTGCGACAACAACGATTTGTTCCGATTCAATTCAATTTTATGTCGATATTTTTGACTCTCATTTAGGTATAAATCCTGAACGAAGCAACAGCATCTCTTAGTTGTGGATAATAATCCGAACTAGGTGCATATACATTTAATCCGTTGGTTCAACCATTCAACAAAATACCTACATAAAGGCACATTAGTGAAACTCAGTGATCGAAAAATGCTCACTCAGAGCATTTCATCACTCTTTTAAA